AATAATTAAGCTATTTATTATTTTAAATAAATAATTTTAATTATTTATTCCCCCCCAGAATACTATTTCTATTTCTTTTGTACGTTTGTTCACACAGAGTTAACTTGCAGCAAAACCAAGTCAATGTATAGATCAAAACTGAAGACTGCTTTCACGAATGTCCAGATATAACTGAGGGAATCCAGATATTGTCACATGACGGTGGAAAACGCCGCTATTATGTAACAACATGTCGGCTGCGCACATCGGCACCTCATCGTACGATTCCACCTCCGTCACTTGAGCCGTAATAAGCACAGACATCCGGCTGGGATTTTCAAAATTAAACCCACATCCAACGATGTGATTGGATGGAGGTTTATAAACAGTGTTCTCTTCCTTTGCGGTGTCTCTGCTTTCTTTGACCAACTTGACGCACCAAGCGTCGTGCGTCGCTGCGTCGCCGGTAGAGGAGGCGTTGGCGCATCGCTGCTGCTGCCTCCGCCGCCGCCGCTGCTGCTGCTGCTGCTGCTGCTGCTGACACAGGAACCGGCTGTCCTGCACGGAGACCAGGCACACAACGGTCCGGTAATCACCTCGTTTAAAGACAGTCGCTAGTAGCTGTAGGTTGACAGAGATTACTCAGCTGCTTCCAAAAAAAAAAAAAAAAGAAAGAAAGAATGATCAAGAACGGCCATCACCACCACCAAGTGAGCCCAGCAGCCGGGAAAGACGCAGGGACGACCCCCGGCGCTGCAACCTGCAGTCCCGAGAAGAGGAGGCGAAGGATCCGGGTGTGGTGCGATGGCTGGTGAGTCACTTGAAGCGACGGACTGATTGTGTGATGAAGACCACAAACCTTGCGTCGTTTGCATGGCACACGTTTGAATGAAAGTGCCTTTCACCTGCCACCGGGACGGGCCTGCTGCAGGTTGCATGACTGTCACAGGGCTGCTGCCCAATCCTCCAGTGGTGTCAGTCAACTCCAAACTTCTCACTGAATATTCTGTTGTATACACACAACTATGAGTGGTTACATCTCCTGACACGTATCCAATGATTCAAGACTAGGTTGTACATTACAGCATGACTGGGGCATCCCAGTTTCAATGTTCCTTCTCAGTCTGCACACTGTTACTGTAAAAACACCAGGATACATTTGTTCTTTCATGATTCTTAGTCATGTGAAGCCTCTGCGTGGCACTGCCAGTGATAAATGGCATTATTCTAAGTTATTATGAATGTTCCTTCGCCTTACTTTATGCAGCATTTACTAAAGCTACATGTGATATCCTTGAGTTTAAAACGGAACAATTGAAGGTTTATTTATGCAACTATATCAGAGGTAGGATTTTCAGAATCCTGCTGTATTTCAGTTGTTAAAATTAAATGCTGTATCAAGTACCATTATTATGCTTCAGTAATCTTTTGATGAGATGACAAATGTGTGAAAATTGCACATTTTTATGCTCTCCTTTTGCTCTATGCCTTTTATATTGCCTATTTTTATAGATATAGATATAGATATAGATATAGATATATAAAACGCTATCCTATAATCCTGCTATAACCAGCCACTTTCAATTTATATCATATCTGTAACTCCAGGAAATCCAGCCACCACTAAGATGCTGACTGGACATTATTCCCTGGAAGATATGTTAACATCTCACAGCAGGAAAAGCACAAGCAATAAAATGAATGAGGTCGGAATTCCATTGGAGAGCTTTGGTGTATCTGTAACAACAGGGTTAATGTTGCCTGGGACACCTGTGCCTTACCTGTTTAAGTAAGAGGCAGTTAGAAGAGAACGGACCAAATCCTGGCATGCTCATCCTCATCTTGATATTTTTTGGAATTGCTATCATGATGAGGACACCTATGCAAACAGGCTGACTCTCTTTCGGCATGATGTAAGGGAATAATAGGAAAAAAAAAATCATATTAGGGTTGAGCAAGGCACTCACGTAGCACCAAGCGCAGCCTTTAATGTAATACAGGTAATGGATTGATGTGAACGCACAGCTGGGGGAAGGAAAAAGCTTACCATGCAAAATTAGCACTTATATTCACATCAAGGAGGAGATTTCTTTCCTTACTCCCCCAGCTGAATGTTCCAATATCGTATTTTTTATGGAAAATACATAAATCAATTAGACTAGTTTGCGAACAAAAACTAACAACGAATACTCTGAGGTGAAATGGTTTGACATCGTCTGCTTGTTGCTCCACCTTTAGTGCAAGTTCTGATCTTTTTGGATTTATTCAGTACTATGAAAACATTTCATGTCCACTTGGCCTTATTAATGATTTGGTGCAACACATTGCACCATATAAGATATGGCCAATATATACACCTAACCAATCTCCCAGAGCCAGTGGCAGCAGCACTGTTCCACACATTTATCTTATGAGCTTTTATAAAGGTAATTGTTGCCACTTCATGCTTCTTGTAAAGAAGATGAGCACACTGAGCAGCTTCCATCAACTCGTCCAGGTGGATGAATCTGAAATATTAAAATGTTCTACAGTGTCCTCTCAGATACACTCAATCAGCCCTCTAATATTTCAGTCACCTCAACTTGGAACCTTGACAGAGAGTCTCTAGTAAAGCTGAGCACCTTTGTAGAGATACAGAGTATTTCTAGGCTCAAAGATCATACATTTACTTTTAAAGGAGAATTTTACAGTACGTGGCCACTTATCTGTACTCATATCTTACCATGCAATGAGTTTGTTTTTTATGTGAGAGGTTTTGACGTCTGTGTGCTTAGAGTTTTGCCTCCACTTTAAAACAATGGACGCAAATGGAATTTTGTTTATGGTACTCGTGGCATCTGAAAAACTCGCCACCGACCCCTCTCTCCATGTCCACAGCCCTCTAAGTGAACACTTTTTATTGGGAGATATTTTCCTCTAAAAGTGAAAAATAATGACTGCTGATACTGAGGTGTGTAGCTCATCAAAAGTAAACAGGGAATTGATGAAAAGAGTTGTTTTTTTTTTCATTCTTATTGTATTAAGTTGACGGCACAGCAACTTGCAAATATGGGTGAACTGACAAAAGCTGCAAAAATAAGAAAAAGGAATGGCCTATTTTGTTATTTAGTTATTATTCAATACATTTTTTTCAAGCAAAAATGCTCCCCATTTACTATCTGAGAAACTCGTCAGCAAAATAATCAATAATCTCCGCCGGGAGAAAGACCAAACCTGGGTGGTTCCGTGCTGCGACGGCAAAATAGATGTTTTGAATTTTTGTGTATGAAGGCCAGGATTACGGTGGCTTTCTCTTGTAGAATTCCTGCCATTTATGTGTGGCTGCCAATCTGTGGTTTGATGGCATGTTGCAGAATATTTGGAATGCCGTAATGTTAACCGGTGGGGTGAGCATGCAAAGAGAGCCAATGTCAACAGAGCTCATGTCATTAACCCTCTAACCCCTCCGTCCCACACCTGCTAAGGCCACTGTAGCTGCTGCAGCCGTGCCTGTCACTGAGCACATTGTTCCCCCCCGAAGCCCTACTGGACATCGCCACGCTCTTACTGACATCCCGCTTCGTCAGCAGTATGAGAGGAGAATTCCAAGGAAAGAACGCGGTCATGTCAACTGCTGACACATGTCTGACCCTGCCCCTTCGTACCTGCACAAAGGGACTTTCTGTTCTGATTTGTTGCCCAGAGAAGAGGTGACAGAGGTTAAAGATCTGTTGTCAGTGAAGCATCACCAAGGAGGAGTGCAAAGTCCATTTTCACTATCTGCTGAGGTCATGTGTACACAGAAGACTAAACATGTACAGCCCCACTGAAGTCATGGTGTGTTGGTCACTCATTCCATCTGAAACTATTCATGTCCTAAAAGAGTGAAGTTCAGCCTCACCAAAATGTGAAGATGACATTTTCTGCTGCTTTTTGCCATAAATATCTGCCATTCCTGCTAGTTCCTTCATGTTTCTCTTACATTCTCTCACTTTGTGCAAAGTTGTCTGTTTTTTGCTCTTGAGAAGCTTAGGTGCTGTTTGGGTGTCTGCTAACAGGCTACACTACTTAATATTTCATCATGTCGCGGTGATACGCTCATGATCCATCCCTGCTGAAAAATACAACAGGACTACGGTCACATGTTGGGCATCAAGCTAGTATAACACCCCAAAAAGCAGCCTCCTGCTCTTATGTAACCCTGTGCAGCTCTCAGAGTTTTCTTTCATTCACCTCCAAATGCTCCCCTTTATTACATTCTTCTTGGCCCATTCTATTGCTTAAGAGCCTGCACATGGTGGATCTCATTTCAGCAGATTGACAGCACAAGATGCACACAGAAAATTCAACTCCTTGACAACAAGCCACTTTTTACTCGTCGCATTTGGTTAAAGTCGTCTGAATATGACTTGTGTTTGTAGTGTACCTTCTTTTATTTTAAAAGTATTGCTCAAGTGCGGCTCAGGCTGTTTGCAGCCAGGCTGTGTATCGTGACACTGCAGCGAGGTACAGATGCTTGTCTTTCATTAGCATGGCCTGGGGCTGAGAACAACATGGGATTCTGTTACTGCTGTTGCCCTGAACATAGCGTAGTTGTGGCAGTGTTGTTTTCTTATTGATTTTGTAGGATGCTATTCATAGTGCTGCTCCACACCTTACTCCTGAGAGTACTAATGTGTAATACTATAATGTATTAATCAAGTGTTTTGTTTTTTTTTCACTTCACTGTTCGGTAATCAGTACTGTGAGGCAGAATTGCTGATAGCAGCTGAATGAACATGTGTGGTTACCGTGTGAATCAGTTCCCAGTGCATTTTCAGTGACACCGGCGCTTCATATTAGATGCCAATATCATGTTCAAAGTGGAGCAGGAAGGAAAAATATCAGACTGATGTCAGCTGTTGGCAGAAGAATAATGATGGAAGGCTAATGCCCATCTGTTCTCTATTACTATGCAAGATTACTGTGTTACAATCTCAGTCTCCAATGTGTGCTAATCTAATTATCTACAGATGGTATCATAGCCTGGGAGGAGACGAGAGGGAGGGAACAGCCACACTCTGTCATTGACTTTTTTAAGTTGAGACTCCGATCAAATATCTAGCTGATCATGTGAAGTGTAGGGTTTATGTTGATAGGCTGATAATAATAGAACCCTGCAAGCATGAACGCATCATACTGGTTGTTTCTCACGTTTTTAGCCCATGAACTAAAAATCTTTTGATCTGCTGCATGCAAGGCGCCGATTGCTTTTCATTTATTTCCCTTTAATCAAAGCTCCTAAGCAAACTTCTGAGTGTTAACTTTGAGAATGGTGTCACAATTCAAAGTCAGATATTAGAAGCATAAAAGCATTTGTTGACTATCTTGGAATCACCTGGCATGAAGCATGCTGATCCCGAGAGGAGCTGGAACATACGCAGCCAAAATCATATTACTGTAATTCAAGACCAAATTTGCATGATTTACATGTTTTGATTTACATATGTCCTTTATCTTTGTTTGATTTTTCCAGACAGAGTTTTATAAAGCTACTATGCCTCACTATGAATCAGAAGCAGCTTTACTGGCCAAGTGTGTGAACACATACTAGAAGTCTGACTGCGGTTCTTGCTTAGCTCTCAAAGTACGCAAAATAAAACACATGCATATTTTAACAAGGGCAACAAGGTATAGAAGAAAAACAAGAGTTATACCACTATATACCGCATCAGCTATTTATAAAGAAGCGTGTTTAAAGAGAACCAGAGCTTAGTGCAAATACAGTGATTAAACAATGAATACGCAGCTATTTCAGCGAGTGTTTCTGGGATGACATATGTACAGTTGATAAGGGTTGGGATCAAATACATTTTTATTATTTTTTCTGTTCAATTTAATTAAGAAATGTGTAGCTTCACAGCCAGAGATACTGGCAGAGAAGACAAAATGCAAACTATGTGAAAGAGAAGATGCTAAGTTACCAATATTATATAGCGTGATTATATTGTCCTTACTGGTTTTCCTTTCTGTTTTTCCTTAACAGCTATGACATGGTGCATTATGGTCACTCCAACCAGCTGCGGCAGGCCAAGGCGATGGGAGATTACCTTATTGTTGGAGTACACACAGACAGTAAGTCTCAAAAGCGCGACCTTTATGGCACGCACATTCTCTGCAATAGAAACCCCCTGTTGGCCACTTGCTCTGACCTGTCTGCAGTCTGTCTCACCTGTATTGTACTTGACTTTTTATTCCCACTTCTGATGTTACTCTTCCCCATGCATGCTCCTGCCTTTACCTGCTGAATGTGGGAAAACAATTTCTTCAGTCCCTGAAGGCACCAGCTGTGTTCAGTGTACACTTAGGAGAGATTTCTGTAGCAGTGACTCAGCTGTGGTGGCCTACTGTGGTACACTGGAACACTTTGACATTGTGATAACCCAGAAAGATCTCAACAGTCAGGGCCAGTAAAGATATCAGCAACTTTTGCGTGTGTTGAAGTGATAATAAGATGTCTCAATGACAAAGGCGATGCGGCATTCAGTCGCTACAAAGCTGCTTATCAGAAGTCATGCAAAAGGAGGGTTTCTGTCTCTATGTTGTCATAATCTCAGTTTGTTGGTTTTTTTTTTCCCCAAGGTGAGATTGCAAAGCACAAGGGTCCACCAGTCTTCACTCAGGAAGAAAGATACAAGATGGTGCGGGCCATAAAATGGGTGGATGAGGTCGTGGAAGGGGCCCCGTACGTCACCACCCTCGAGACCCTTGACAAGTACAACTGTGACTTCTGTGTGCACGGAGGTACTGTGCATTATCACCACCTCATGGCCTTATTTAGAGACACAACTGGATTAGGAGTCATAAACAACAAGCTGCTGGAACACAGATTTTACAGAGGCCCTGTATGTTGTTGTTTCAGATGATATAACACTAACTGTGGATGGGAAAGATACATACGAAGAGGTGAAGAAGTCAGGACGGTACAGGTAGGCTAAATCTGCAGATGGTGATACATTCAGGATGGGATGTTTTGTGTGTGTTTATTATCTTATGGAGTATATTGTTTTGTTACAGGGAGTGTAAGAGAACCCAGGGAGTTTCAACCACAGACCTGGTTGGCAGGATGCTACTGATGACCAAAGCACACCACAGCAACATTGTGAGTATCTCCTACTTCTCTTTGGTATGCCCTCACTTCAGACTAAAAACCTAATTTTCCCCATTCTTCTTTTTAGGACAGTTCAGACTATCAGCAGCACACAGACAACTTTGGAAAGGTAAGTATCTAATCTGTTTAAAGCTTTATTTGATGCTTCGCTCATCAGCGAATAAATATCAAATCCCCAGATTACTGTCATCAAAGTTCTCAGTGGGGTCTCTTTGAAACAATATTCTTGGCTCTTTTATTTCCTTCTCCCCCAACTGTTTTGCCATTCAGTTAGAAAAAGTTGCTGCTTGAGCCAGAGTCAGCCATCATTAAATAAAGTCCTTTACTGTGGACCCACTTTGTAATCAAGTAGTACGCCCTGCCAGTAAACACTGAATGCCACTTCTGTTCCTGGATAGGGAGGGTGACTCAGAGCCAACATGCTGTGGGTCTAAATAGCTTAAAAGCAGTAGAGGGTCTCTTCACATTTCAACATTTAAGACTGGAAGAGTAATGATGTGAATTTGGCATGGGTTGAATAAATGGATTTGTGGGCCAGCTCTCAGTCACGCCACTGGGTGGCAACGATGCAGCACTAACGTTCTCTTTGCTCTCATATGTCGGGATGATATACTGGCACACACTGAAGTATTTGTGTTTTATTGTTTGCCCATCTTTGTATTTATTTTGTCTGTTTTCTTGATTGCGGGGGGCACATGGTCAGAAGGGCCACAGTCCCTGGACAGGGGTGTCTCAGTTCCTGCAGACTTCTCAGAAGATTATCCAGTTCGCCTCTGGCCAGGAGCCTCAACCTGGAGACACCATCATCTATGTGGCAGGAGCCTTTGACCTCTTCCGTATCCTTTTAAAACCCCTCTAGCAACTGACAGAGTTCTTTAAAAAAAAAAAATCAAACTTTTAATCGAAAAGCACACACAGTTTAGTGTTGTTATTTATTATAGCAGCAGTGTCTTTGTTGAAATGGTGTGTGCAGCTCTGGGAACTAGCCAGTTCTTTTCAATTGTCATCCCTGACTGGTCTCCTGTCAGACATTGGCCATGTGGACTTCCTTGAAGCAGTGCATAAGCTTGCAGAAAAGCCATACATTATAGTGGGGTTGCACTTTGATCAGGTGAGTCTTTTAGGCCTCATTTTTTTTTCCCGTTTGGTGACTCCCTCAGTCGAGTGTTGACGTTTTCTATTCACATCTTTTTAGGAGGTGAATCGCTACAAAGGGAAGAACTACCCCATCATGAATGTCCACGAGAGAACGCTCAGTGTCCTGGCTTGTCGAGTATGTTCTTCTTTTTAAGCTTCAACACAATACACTCTATGCATGTTATGTATATCTACATGCCCTTGATTAATGTGCTTTTTTACAGTATGTGTCAGAGGTGGTGATTGGTGCACCGTTTGCAGTCACAAAAGATTTGCTGGACCATTTCAAGGTAAGAATACAGTTACCGCATCACTACGGAGGTAGCAATCAAAAGTTAATAAACTGATGTACACGTGACTTTGTGTCCGCAGGTGGATCTCGTTTGCCATGGAAAGACAGAAATATACCCTGACAAGGATGGATCTGACCCTTATGCTGTAAGACTCTCATCAGTGCCACATTATGCAGCCTCTTTTACAACACACCTCATGAGTCTGCAGTGGTGATTTGTTTGACATTTTTTTTCTTCACACCCAGGAACCCAGGAGGAAAGGAATCTTGCGTACTGTTGACAGTGGAAACAGCCTCACTACAGACGCCATTGTGCAACGGATAATCAAAAACAGGTACAAAATAGACAAATTTATAACCCTTCACATTCACAGTGTGTTTAAGGTAACCTAGTCGGACATCGTTAATATAGCCGATTGATCTTAGAGCTGACTGTGTATTCTTTACATCTTCCTTTGTTCAATTAAGGTTGCTATTTGAAGCAAGGAACCAGAAGAAAGAGGCCAAAGAGATCGCTGTGATCCAGGCCATGAAACGACAAGAAGAGGAAAAGACAAAAGAAAGAGCCCAAGCTGTGCTGTAGACGTGGCACTAACGAGCTCAACCACTATGAAGTCATGTACAGTAGAGTGAACCCTTTTCTAAGTGTTATGACATCCTCCACACATGATCCTCGCTAACAACAGCAGTCTTTACAGCAGCCTGTTGTTTAACCAGGGCGGCGTACTCTGCTGTAGGGTCATCAGGTATACTGTTCTATGTGTGTGGGGGAGGTGTTTTAATATACTCTGCATATGCAACTACATGTTCATGTCAGTCAGCAACCACACATACAGGTGTATGTGTCAGATATATAATAGGTTGGAACAAGGAAGATGTCACTATATCTTTAAATGTCTATTTTATGTCTTAGGATATTTTTAATTCCTCAAGTTTATTTTTTTGCCTTCAAAAATTTTTTAAATTTTATCATGGACTTCGGGCATATGAAGTAAAGGGGCTTGAGATAATGGTCAGGCATTTAATTATATAACATGGAAGTGATTTGATTTATCATTTCTGTGGGGCGGCTGCTGCATCCTGCCCATCAGTGCACTTAGCCCCACAACTAATCTCTCTTTGTATGTACTGTACTATGTATTATAAAGTGACTGCAAGCTCAGTGGAGGATACTGAAATCACTTTTATATATATATATATATGTGTGTATGAGTGGTTTCAGTATATATATATAAACCAGATCATACCAGATCCTCCACCAGACTGCACTGACTGCTCAGAAATCATCAGAACTGTTCTGTTTTAACAATAGAGTTGTTTTTAAACTCAAAAATGCACACTGTCAAGACCTGAAGGTCTGGCCTTTTGAGTGCAATAGTGTTCTTTTTGTTGTTTTTTGTTTTTTGTTTTTTTTTTCTCAACCCAACACTCCTTAGATTTATCCTAGTATAAAGATAATGACTATTTTAACCTTTAGCTTTCATAGTATAACTAGAGAACTATGACAGGTACTCATTATTGTTGACTTGATTATGAAGTAGACCTCTTACTGTCACTTGAGTCTCTATCAAATGGGATTAAATAATATATTTTTTGTAGATGTATATTTTACTCACCTGCTCTCCATTAACTACTGTATAGATGATTTCATATTGTTTCAAAAGCATATTAATATGTCTGTATGTCAAGTTGGAATGTATTCATTGTAGGCTATAATCTGTATGTTATTGACAACTCCCAGTTGACATATACTGTAGAAACTGATTGGACTACAGTATATTATTGCTGATGATAATAACAATTTATTCTGAAAAGCTGTTTGTTATCTTGTTTTCACTTGAACAGAAAATGCAAAGATTATCAATTATTTCTTCAACAATTGAGGTGAATCAGCTGCACATGAGTCACACAACAAAAGGGTGAGGTTATTATTTGGGCACAAAAATGATTAATCGGAAATTTTCAGCGTAATTAATCACACAAAGTTCATTAAATGTCTGATTAAATTAATATTAGATTGTGATAGTGATTGATTAGTACCTAGCAAAATTTCCCAAAAAAAGATTGTTGAAGAAAGGTTAATGAATTGTACCCAGTGTGAAAATCTTGGCATCAAGTTACAGCAAGCAGATAAGCAATTACTCCAATATGAAATTGACATTTTGTAATATACTTGTAGAATGGTAGTGATTCCAGTAAATGTACCTCCTATGTTTTTAAATATCTTTACACTTCAATACAAAACAAATTAGACCTTTATTTTGAAGGAAGTGCATTTGTCCATTCCTTTGTGTCCCTGAATGCATCTTTAATTTGGAAGGACAGCTGCACACCTGCCTGTAATTAACCAAATAAGCTCAGGAAAAGGAAGAAACACTTCCACTCACTTGTTAGCAGTTTTTACTGGCAATCGACTGACACACAGACGTGAAGAGCCACAGCAAAGGGATGTTCTGTTGTCCAAATATACTGCCAGCCCCTCTGCAGGTAGTACAGTCATTGATTTGTTTAATTTGTGTGAATTTATAGTAAAAAAAATAAAAATAAAATCAAAAATCTGAGCAGGATTGTTCAACTACTTGGTGTGACAATGGTGCATATGAGGTTTTGGAATGTTCAGTGTTGCCATCAAGTCTTATTTGATTCCAGAGGACTGTACTAGGAGGAGAGATTAGTGGGTTATCGAGGTATGTTGAGCATAAATTCAGAGTTTTCAGCGTCACGAAAGTGTCTCTCTTCTAACCTGCTACATCTCCATGGTAACTGATACTGGGAAGTTAACCTGGTTGGGAGCAGGTTATGTTCAGAGTTTAGGATTTAAATCAGCTGCGTCTCCCGTTAACCAGATCATTTCCTGATGATCCTTAATGAGCAATACAGATTCTCAGCTGAGGGACTGTGTTTAATCTGTAAACCCGTTGAGCTGTACGTTACTAATATCACTGAATGAAGCCGTGCAGTTACAGCATCACACACTGTATGCGTCTCATTGTCACGGGAACCAGACATGTATTTAGTTGGTGATGCAGAAACCACATAAATGTGTTTTTATGTTTGGTCCGTTTCCACTGCTTAGAAAATGGATCATTCTACGAGTATTTATTACAGAGAATATTTAACCAGTAACATTAATTTAGCTTTGATTTGGCCAAAAATGAAAGTGACATCCTGCTTTATGGGACAGTGTCAGACCGAAATGACAGACTTAAATGTAATATCATGCTTAAATACATGAAGTTTCAAGTTTAACAGCTTTATCGTGCTGCTGTCAGTTGGAGATAGGCTATACTGAACAGTAAAATGAATATATATTATGTACGTTCAATAGTTTTCTTCCGGCATGTCTGTCTCCATCATTTGCAGTAGCAGCACTTTTTACAATCACACATTTGTATATTGTTCACGATGGTAACAACCTCTTGACTGAAGCAGCTATTTGGCTACGTCAAACTTATTTTGTAGTACACCCCTCTGGAATAGCACAACTTTTGGGATTGTTAATGGTTGTTGTTTATTTTAAAACATGATATGGACTTTTGTCATTAAAAAAATGCCTTCATGATAGTTTAAGTCATCTTCACCAGATCCTAATTCACAAACTCAAACAGCATTTGCAATGTAGGAATAATGATCTCTGGTTCTAAATTAAACAAAAATGTTGACCAAGTATACAAATGGCCTTATTTCTGACTTCTGACACAAAAAGTTTCTGAGCTCTTTAACTGGTGACAAATTCTCTACCACTGATTTAGTCGACATCCTTGGTAGATGTGGCTTTAAAGGACAATGACCAGACAGTGTGACCAGTACACTTGGCATGTTGGGATGTCAGTTAAGGCAGTAGCCAGGCACTGGAACGTCCACAACTCCACCAGTTGTTGCCTTAGAAATAGATTCAAACAACACAGTGTAAGAGACAGTCTGCCACATGATGCTGTGGATGGACGTGCCTTACAATCCTGTCCTGGTCCCATTTCTGAAAATGTCCACAAACTTTGTAAAATCCTTCAGTGTGGGACAACTTTACACTTGTCAGCATTGACAACCTCATTAGCTATGTGTTGCAGATGTGTGACTTCTGGTCTATCATCCAACTCTTGATGTCCATCCATCCATTATCTATACACCGCTTAATCCTCACTAGGGTCATGGAGGGCTGGAGCCTATCCCAGCCGACTTAGGGTGAAGGCAGGGGACACCCTGGACAGGTCACCAGTCCATCACAGGGCTACACTTAGAGACAGACAACCAAGCACACTCACATTCACACCTACGGACAATTTAGAATCACCAATTAACCTCAACATGTGTTTGGACTGTGTGGGAGGAAGCCGGAGAACCCGGAGAGAACCCACACTGCACGGGGAGAACATGCAAACTCCACGCAGAAAGATTCCGGTGCCCCCACCGGGACGCGAACCGGCAACCTTCTTGCTGTGAGGCAACAGTGCTACCAACTGCACCACCCTGCAGCCCAAAATAATCCATAGAATTTAATAAAATATTACAAACTACATTCATATTTGTTCAGTATATTTGCAGTTCATATTTACCTTCGTCCCAAAGCAGCCAGGTTAAATGTAAAAACTGAATTTGTTTCCTTAGATCTGCATGGGAATCTGTCTTCCCCAGGATATCACAGAGGAGAGCAAAAAGGCAAAACTCCAGAACTCTAAAATAGAACAGGACCTTAATGAACATGCCAGGGCTGAGAAACATGCGGTCAAAATACTTATGCTTGGTAAGTTTGTTTTAACTTATTCTGTTTCGCACAAGCATTTAATTTTTTTTTTAGCTGAAACTGCTGGTTTCGTTTGTGTTTCAGGAGCTGCAGAGAGTGGAAAGAGTACAGTCATCAAACAGATAAAGATCATTTACAGTAATGGCTTCTCTCAACAGGAGCTCATTAGTTTCAAGGTAATGAATACTGTGACTTGTTTCTCACCTGAAGAATGAAAGTTATCTGCACCAAAATCATTTTCAGCACCACTGGAAGCACATCAGATACGATGATGTCTCGTTGTTCACAGCCGGCCGTGCTCGACAACCTACTGACCTCGATGAAAATCGTTCTACAAGGAATGGGAATGCTGAGGATTAACCTCGCTAACATGAAGAATAAGGTGAGATGCACAAGTTTTCACTTTTATTGCAACCCCTCTTTATTACACTAGATGTCAGTATTTATCTGAATATGACACAGGATCCGTACACATGACTGATACCATCTATCATCTATCATATAAGAAAAGCTCCCATTATGATCACATCTTGCTTCTCCACAAGTCAGATAAATGTGATGTGATCTATCTGTGGCACAATTTATACATATCCAGATGTAGACTCTAGGTGTAAATGGGGCCTATGAGCATTTCAAAATAATCCATTCCTACCCTAAGGTGAAGGGTCAGTGCATTACTTATAGCTTTGCCATGTTTTCATATGTTGTCCCTGCCAGGAGCACGCCCGCTCCATCCTGTCCTGCAGCCAGTGTCTGGGGGACGACCAGGAGCTGCTGCCTTTCGTGGCTCACGCGTTCTGCTCCCTTTGGGCCGACCAAGGGGTTCGAGCAGCGGCGGCCAGAGGCTACGAGTTTGAGCTGAATGACTCTGCGCTCTAGTGAGTAGATTGCTTCAAGTGATTTACGTTGCTCACTGCCCCCCCAATTATGATTGACGGTGGAAATGTCAAGGGAAATTGCCCAGTAAGAAGTGTGTCGTCACATCTTGTCAATGCAGAACACCAGCGAGGGGAGTGCTCAGAATAACTCATTCTCAGGAAATGATTCCTGTGACATTTGTGAAAGGGGAGGCTTAATTGGCACCACATTAAAAACAGCACTGTTTGCAGATATCCAGGAAGATGGGAATTAGGGTGGAGCAGATGAAACAAACATGATTAAAGAGTCAGTTAGTTTAATGAGCAGCCAGATGACATACATGTGTAGACTGAGCACACATGAGGTCGAGAATATGACGAATCCGTGGCATCATAATTTAACTGTATTTTCTGAACAATTGCAAATTCTGAAACAATAGTTATTAGAATACAGCCAGTGTGTTTTACTCATATCCACGTGTGGGAGATTTTTCTATTTATGTGGATGGAACTTGTTTTTCCATCCGCTGTCCTTCGGCAAAGCAGTTGTGCCCTTTAAATGGTTCATTACAAAGAAAGTAACCTGCACACTGTCATGAAATCCTCCCTCACCGCTCTGCGTAGGTCACTTATTGAGTGTGTTGCATCATTAGCTCAAGGGTTCCTCGTTTGCTCAAGTGTGGAATACATTTCAATAAATGCCATTATTATTTAGCACAGCAAGTTTAATGCAAATGCAATCATGAAAAACCACCCTGGTAAATGAGACACTTCTTGACACAGGATTAGGTGGTATATTAACAGCTGTATTATTCCTGTAGACAGCTTGCGACATTTAGTTTACACCTTGCATTTTTTTTTTTGTTTAAATGTATGAAAAACGGTGGCGTTGTACTTGAGAACAAGCAGCTGACATGTTTATTTGCCATCAGATGAATGGAGGGGAGTGCACCTCTGAAAGGGGCTTAATTATGTGTCCTTCCAAATGACACTGATGAGGGGGATACACACATTAAAAAAACCTTTAAATGAATTCAATCCAGTTTTTCACCACTAATTATGAACAGGATGCTGAAACATTTAACAACTTTCATGACTGTGTCAACAAAACAAACAAACAAACATTATGGGCATCATACAAGTCGACGGAATCACTGGGTAGTTGTATTGGATTGCATTAGACTACACACACACACACACACACACACACACACACACACACAGGGGAAATCGTGGCAGTGGTGTCAACATTTGCACCAGTTTCTAGTGTTTTATAATGTTCATGATCAGTGAGAGGATTTTTTGGTAATCTGGGAAATGTGTGGTAAAAAATTTGTATGTTAACTTTAAAAAGGAAAATGAAAAATAACATTTCTAATAATGTTTCTCAACAAAAACATCCCAGTGAAACAACAATCAGGCATCATCTACCTGATGATGATGATTGTCCTGCCTCTCTAAACCCGTCTGTTTCTCATATTAAGATGCCATTTGGTTTTATGCTTCATTCACTGCTTACATTTCTTGTGAACAACTCTGGAACAACAACAACAGGGTTGAGGTTTGCATATAGTCTTTAAACTGGAGGTGGAATTTGTGAGCATTTACCTTTTTCCTTTTAATGTGGAATAAATGGAGTGAATAGCAGTTCTTATCTCTGAGGCAACAGGGACAAGATCTGTCAAGATAAAAATGGACTCCAGGTGGCCGGGTTGAGAAAGATGGAGTTGTGACAGCTTCATTATTGGAACTCGATAAAGTTGGGAGCAGGAGGATGATATGAAACTCGGCCAGCTCTCTTTCAGTGTTCTCGCTCCACAGGACTCCACTTCGATTTTCCCCTCCAGAAATGTTGGATTAGACTGCGTTGTTGAAGTTCGTAATTTCCTCACGGCCTGGAGACACCTGAATGTGTAAAATGACTTCTCTGACATTAGCGTTGCCAAGACCTGAAGTGTTAATGTTGGGAAAAGGAAATCTGCAGTTACAGGAACTTAACGATTGAGTGTAATAACCATGTTTTTAAAAAAATCCATTCTTTTCAACGACTATGAAAGAAGAGAAATCAAACTGATTCACCGCTATTAAGAGGTGGCACATTTTGAAGTGGAAATCAGCAGGCAACATTATATGGAAGTGCTTTGTATTTTAACATGACTGTTAGAGTATGTTGAGGGAAAAACGTATAGAGTAGAGCAAATGCAGGGCAGCACATTTTCATGATAATGTTTGAAAGATCCATAAAATAACAAGGTGCACATCTGGTTTCACAAATTTATGTTTTAGACATTTCTGCAGCTTTAATCCTGCGTGTTTGCCCTCAGATTAATATCATGAAACATAGAAAGTTTCACAAAACTAAAATGACTATTTTAAGTTGAAAACCATTGTTCTTGTAGGCTAGAGCACAGGGTCATGTTTGAATGCTGACGATCAGTGTGCATTTTGTTAGTATCCATCCATCCATTATCTATACACCTCTTAATCCTCACGAGGGTCACGGAGGAGTCTATCCCAGCTGACTTAGGGTGAAGGCAGGGGACACCCTGGACAGGTCACCAGTCTATCACAGGGCCACACTTAGAGACAGACAACCAAGCACACTCACATTCACACCTACGGACAATTTAGAATCACCAATTAACCTCATCATGTTTTTGGACTGTGGGAGGAAGCCAGAGAACCCGGAGAGAACCCACGCTGCACGGGGAGAACATGCAAACTCCACACAGAAAAAGATTCCAGGTGTCCTCACGGCGACTTTCTAGCTGTGAGGCAACAGTGCTAACCACTGCTCCACCGTGCAGCCCCATTTTATTAATCTGATTATTTTAATTCTTATGATTTCATGATTATTATGTTAATAACCTTGTAACTACTGAGGCAAACATGTTCTGCTCGAGTGGTTGGAATCTAACTTATTGACGCAGTTGCTCTGTTATCTACAATTTAAACAACAGATAAAATCAGATGCCCGTCTAAAGTCTGAATATTAGTTGGACCTGAACTTTAGTTGAAGTCTGAACTGCCCCCCAGGACACGTCTCACTCTGAAATAACTGACTTTTTCACCTGTACATTCACTGTGTGAAACGATTGTTGAAAACCTCGTGTGCCTCTGCAGTATGACTCACATATCAGACCTGCAGCTTATGTTGCAGGTAGAAATATTCACTCTTCGCTAGGTTCACATATGGTGTAGCTTAAACCCCTGAGACTGCTGTCCACTCGAATTCCAGTTGGTCTTATTTCCAAAAATGTGACCATCTGTCCTCACTCAAAAAATAAATAAATGAAAATATGGGCTCAAAAAAAGGATAGATCTCTTTGAAATATGAGAAAGAAAATTATGCTAAACCAACAAACAGCATTGTGGTAGGAAAGTTAGTTTTCCTCAGCAATCAACAGTATTTTTAAATTACAAATTACCTAATAATTGGCAGCATGAATACAAGGTCTTCACATGATTACTCATAAAAGTTGTCCCAACTGGAATTTCCAGGTTATTTAAGAGGAGTCTTTAAGCCTTATGTACTTAACTACCATAATAATGGACACATATTTTTAAGTTGGAAAATTGAAAAAAAAAAAAAAAAATGCTGCATCAATAAGAAGGTAGGGGAGTGGACTTGAAAATATATAGTTATAGAGCCAGTTTTCATTGGGCTAGTACAATTTGAATTTAGTTTTAAACCACTGAATGCAGAAATTTGAGTTTAAATCACACACACAATATTTAGTTGATTAAATTACTAACGTTATGTCAACCAAACCCATCAAAACTTTATCTAAATCAGTAAATTAGATATTTAGAGATAGATAAGATATCCTCTTGCAACAGCCATGCATAAGTGGTGGGAACAGATCCCTAAATCAGTTTTTTCGAATATATATTTCTGCTCAGTGGCTGATGAGCTTTTTCAAAATGTAGCAGGTTAGATTCAACATTAGACACAACACATTATAACACAAACTATTCAAAGGTATCCCAACATACAACATTTGAAATGGTTGTGCCGGTCCCTGCCATCAACAACATCGGATTACATGTACGCATGCTACGCCTAAAAGCTGCATTTAACAAAAGCTTGAATTTGGTCACAAAAAAAAGAAAAGATTCTTGGAGAACCGAAAGAAATCTGCCGAAGTAGGAAAAAAACTCCATATCAGATCACACACTCAAGTCTCATCAGTTCATGACGTGCCTTGTTCTCTTCTCGTTCCCCCAGTTTTTTTGAGAACATGAGTCGAATCATCGGACCGAACTACATCCCCACTGAGACGGACGTCCTGAGAGTCAGAGTGAGGACCTGTGGAATCATTGAGACGCAGTTTCAAGTTAATGAAATGATGTTGCGGTAAGATTTACCTCAAGTGCAAATCCAGCAGTGCGGCTGTACACAGACGAAAACAAACGACAACGTAATGTGTTCACTCCATAAAGGTACTGTAGATACGTTAATGGGTCACATTTGGCTACTTCTTACAAAAAAACATCACATTTTCCATTTATTGTTGGTGACAATTACATTCCTCAGTATGCACAGTTAATATTAAAACAATATTTCACATTTCTGTGCTTTTGAGGGAGAATTGAACTCTTTGCATTGTTTACCTGAACATTCAAGCTGTTCCCCTGAAACACTTTGCCAATTCCAATGACGGTATCATGATTATAAATGGGATATTAAACCTGAAAGCAACACTGAATCACAACGCTGCACTCAGTGAGATATGTACAAAATGGAGACACAGACTAAAATAATGTAGCATTACAAACCACATGCTGGAGGCCACATAGACCATAATACATGTGTTTCATTATGTATTTGTGGATAAGCAAGACACAAAATACATATTAAAAAAAGACTGATGAAGTGACTAGTGCCTGCTATCTTCAAGCTGCTGGTTTAAAGGCAGTTTCAAAAGTTTTGGGCAGGCAGAGAAAGCTTTTGTGATTTCAGGTGGTTCAGGTCTGATATGTTTTGTAACTAGCTTGTAAATATGATGGCTCTGGAGATGGTAAATGATTTAATTTCTCAGCTTTGCCGTTTTTTGTTGGACAGTTGTGTAGAAACAAGAATGACAACTTTCAGAATTGAAGTAGGGATAGCAATAGATCATAGCATGTGTCTAAAACACCAGGGTGGCAATCGTTTCACAGATTTTTACACACAATATTGTATCTTAACAGAAAAAGTACACCTTGCACTGGGCTGTGATGGATTCTCCTTGAAGTGAGTTTCTTAATTCTTTGAGCTGATTTCATGGAATCTGAGAATGCAAAAAAAGTAATCAATATTAAAACAGAAGTCAAATGTAATATTAGTGCATAACAAATGGTTGAATAAATAAATAACTTGTGTGTAAACTTTACCAAGACGTTAACATGCTGCTGTCTTCGACGTCAGCTTGTTGAGGCTCTGGAGACTCTCCGTCAAACTCTTGAGGTCCCTAACGAAAGCTTCTGAGCTGAGGGAGGCATGAATCAGACATGAAATATTGATGGCTTCACTCCACCTGGTTATTCCAGGAATATTAACACATATGTGGAGAAAGCACAGCAATGAATCACCCAAACCCCACCTCCCTTTCTTCTTTGATCTGTTGTTTCCAGAGAAAGCAGCCCTTCCTGCTGCTCCCTGCCTGCTCCTCCTGTGCTGTGACAGCTTTCAGTGTGTGGGGTCATTGTAAGAAACAAAATCCATACACACCAGGACTTCATGAATATTACATATACTGTAGCTTCCTCTAGGATTGAAACAACATCCTTCTTTTTCTCAATATAAATAAAAGTTAGTAATGGATAGTTAGGTATCAAATTTTAAGAAGATAAACTGTTTTATTACTATTTGCAGTTGCAACAACAGACAAGAAATACGCAACAAATAACTTTATGATCTCACGTGATGTTTCCTGCATTAGGAGGTATTTTGACCATCCTGAATTATGTGCTTCTGTTGCTCCAAACGTAACTAAAACTGACCCAGAATCCCTTTTTAAAAATTGTTTTCTAGGCTGAGCTAAATTCAAAGCTTAAAATATGAGTTGCATCAGTTTATAGGTCTGTTCTTTTATTACACGAGACAAGCTATAATAGCCTTTTTACTGTCAAGAGTGATATTTTCTTTTCTCCACTCTATAAACTACTGCTGTCAAATGCTGTGGTTAATGCTTATTGTCCCCCAGCTTGTTAGAAGCGACTCTTGACCCAGGGGATAAATGCTTCATTGCTGTTTGACATGAGTACTGCAATCATGCACCTGGAGACTCTCTTACTGCCTGTGTCACCAAGACCCTCAACTTCACTTACTGCTATATCATATGTTGAAACTGATTGCCCCAATATCTGAGTTGGGTGTGAATAATAATATTTTTTTTTACTATCAAGGATGCCACCATACAAACAAGACAGTGTATCTATAGTTTATTAAACCCTCAACAGATCAAAAATTTTGGTGACCCAAATGACAGAGTAGGGTCATTCATGACTCCCTTTTATCCATATTCTACTGTAAATATTTATGGGTTTCAAACCTTTTTTGTGCATAAAGAGGTTGGAATCCTATCAGTTTGGGCATTAAGTCCGTGCATCAAGGTTTCTGCAGCAGTACGTCTTGCTACTCTGTCTGTTGGCTATGATTTACTGCAAAACATTAAAGTGTAGTCATTACAAGTGAAGAATTACAATGAAATCAAATCCTATAAGGTTAAAAACACATCTTTAGACGAAAAATGACCCCCACTTCACTTTCTGTTATCATTTCCTTATCAATGGGCTGTTGTCTGTTTGATGACTGAAGACTGAAAAATTCATTGGAGAAAAGATTTTTCCCATTTAACACGTGACAATGGCACATTTGGATATATGGCTGTACACTTGGTGGCTTTAAGGTAAACCAAATGTCCTCGATTCTTGGTCTACAACAGGTGCTCTCAAAGTTATTACTCAAAGGTCTGCATCTGATTTTCTTTAATCTAAGGTCAGAGGTTGGAAACAACTGGCAATGACATTAAATAAACAATACACAAACAGATTCAAGTTCAAGACTACCAGGTCAGTCAAAATCCATTTGACCCAAGTGATTGAAGTCACTTTGTTTGCCTGCAATCAGACTGCAAATTCTGTTAAATTGTTTGTGACTTACATTAAATGGTGAAATACTGTAATGATCTAAAACTGTGAAAATACAACTGAAATCTGTGAAATGATGTAATTTTTTTTTTTTAGCTGATCTATGAAACAGTATAATTTTATAATTTTGCAGTCACTCGTTCTACGAGAACAAATTATTATTGCTAAAAAATTCACATTTTTGATGTGGACATATCAGTGTTGGCCTGTTTTGTTTTCTTTTTGAGGCAACATGTAAGTGTATACTTCTTCTGTAATTTATTAGTAATTTAACAAAAAGGAGGGGAATCTGTGAAATAACACTGAATTATTAAAACAACAACAACAAAAAAAGTAAAAAAAAAAACGTTCATTTTTAGTGAGTGTAGTAGAGAAGATAAGGTTCATTCCGGATCCGATTTCAGAGCTGTTAGAAAACTCTGTCGTAACATCAGTGCATGAACTTCAACAGCAACAATGCACAACAGTCTCTCCGTCAGTTAACGTCGCCATGACAACAATGGTGGGACGATAAACCACATTTAACCACATTTATCTGGGGACAAGATTACTGTCAATGGTCTACAGCTTTACAGAATATTTAACATTACTTACGCTTTACCTATAACTTTCCTCCCCCAAAGCTGATTGTGTTGTATTTGTAACAGAAGGCATAAGGCTGGGTCAGGACTGGCTTCCTGTTTGGTCTGGATGTGGACTGGGTACCAGACTTTAGAATGTTGAATGCAAGTAATGAAGGGCAAAGTGTGGTCTGGTCTAGTCTGGTCTAGTCTGGTCTAGTCTGGTCTAGTCTGGTCGAGTCTGGTCTTGTCAGTGACCAGTCACCGGTGAGTTAAGTAAAAAAACCACAGTAGTTTATTTTCAGTTTTCCCCCAAAAAGCATGTGAAACATGGTCAATCATGTACACACCCTATTTCTCTGCTTTTATCTCTGCCCTTTTTCAGCATCTATTTTTTTTTTTTTTCATAAATGTTGAAGCTTTATTTGCCCTGTTGACAGGCTGTACGATGTGGGAGGCCAGCGCAGTGACAGGAGGAAGTGGCTGAGCTGCTTTGACTGTATTCAGGTTGTGCTGTTTGTTGTGGCCCTCAGCAGCTACGACATGACGCTGTTGGAGGATCCCTCAGTGGTATGTTGATAAAGACCAATCAATTTTCATTACTTAAACTGGATTTTGCTGAATTTGGCGTAAACTTCATCTGCATTTTCTTCCACTTTCACATATTATTAGAATCGGCTGCAGGAAAGTCTGGAACTCTTTTCATCAATCTGCACCAATACAGTCTTCCAGAGAACTTCCCTGGTGAGTCTATCTGCAGTTCAATTTCAGATTGAGATTTCAATTTTGAATCACTTTATAGTTGTTTTCATGGCCTCTGTCAGCTATTTCTTTTTATAAAGCTCATCTAAATATGTGGAGGTAACTGACGCACTGACTGGCTTTTTTGATAATTCATTCCAAGCAAACAGGTCACATCTGAGCCTGTGATTGCGTCTGACATACATAATTAGCATACAAATTTGAGACGTAGGGCAGGTGATTTCTGTTTAGTAAGTTGGCTGCAAGCACTGTTTACTAGCCACTGTAATGAGTTTGTTTGATTTTTGTTCTGTCGGAGAACGTGTGGGACTATTTATATGGGCATGAATCACTCACCTGAGTCACTTAGTATCTTTATTTATCTCAAGGCATTTAGGGATCGGGGTTATCTTCCAGTCATTTTTACATGCTAATTATTTATTTTATTTGTCTTTCCAGTGCTGGGCAGCCAGTTATTTTTCTACTGGCAGCTCATGTGAGGACTTCAGAATACTTTTGATACACTAATGGAAACTCCCCATTTCAGTTCATGGACTAGACTAGACAGATTTGTCTGACACACACGTAGTGTATCATTATGTTTTGACTCTGAAGATGTGCAGTGCAATGTGCCGATTGCTTGCTGCAGAACAGGATACTTGTTTTGAGTGTCCAGATTTGTATGTCTTTTATATTCTTACTTGGCCTCCACACTTCAATGTATTCCATGTTGAATGAATGAATGCAGAGAGTGTGTTGCAGTGCTTTAAGCATTTATCCACAGTGTGGAGACAGCTTCTTATTCATGAGGCTGATGCTGTCTTTTCTTACTTGGGAACTTGAATGCATAATGCTATGAACAATGATTGAAACATGTCACAGCACTGCTGATGTTACAAGGTACATGGTGATCAAATAACTACCACCTAATGTTTGGATAACAACAACATTTGAACTTAAGTGGTTGAAAACCTCAACAAAGAATTAAGTTTCTGCAGAAATGTGAGACATTTTAGACCTGATGTTCTTGTTGTGAGAAGCTGCACTGACATGCATGAGCTCACCCTTTAGTTTTCAAATGTATGTATTTCTCTTCAACAGATTCTGTTCATGAACAAAACTGACCTTTTCCGGGAGAAGATTCTAAATTCTGGGAGACACTTGAGATTTTACCTCTCTAGCTATAAAGGTAAAAAAGAGAATTATGTTGCATTGGTTTTCATGTGGGCAGACCCCCCACGACCCTAGTGAGGATTAAACGGTGTATAGATGATAGATGGATGGTTTTCATGTGTAAAAATACAAATCCAGCATGTATTATTTTATGAAATTCTATCCATTGTTTTTTTTATGAGAACAAGTCCAACACATGGAATTTCTCTAACAGAATGGACGTAATAAAACTGCCAAGCATCCACTGTATTATAAATGTATAAGGGACAGATGGATAGTGGGGTCATAGACCAAAAATTACAAGTCAGGAATATGTCACATGGCTGATTATCTGTCATACGAAGTTGTCTGAAATGACTTCTTTGAAGTAGAATGGTCTAGATGTAGGCTTTCAAGTGCCTGCCAACATCCTGTTCTTGGCTTTCTCTGGTCATCTGTGGGATCATGTCATTTGGTTAAAGCTGCATTTCAAGGTGGACTTTTATAGTCACTGATCACATGTGTGCTGTTTGTGTACTGGTCACACGATCTAATCACTGTCCTTTAAAGGCACATGTGACAGGTATGTGGATTAACTCAACAGTTTAATACCATTTTGTGGACAGTTAGCTAAATGAAACCCTTTTCTAAGTATAGAAATCAGATTTGTTTTTTCTTTTTCTCCAAATCAGAATAGACCACTTACATGCTGCATATGTATTTTTGCTCAGTGCATATTTTTGGCCAGTTAAAGGGAGCTCAGATGGTTCATAAGACCAGAAGGACTGATTTAAAACAGTCTTTTGGACCTTGAATGTCTCGTTTATAATTTAACTGTGCCAGTGTCGGTTTTAGACTCTAAACCTGAGAATTTCTCATATATATATCTATCTATCTATCTCATTCATTCTTGCTCGATTTTGATCATACATATTTCAGGCGAGAACCGGAAGGTAAACTGTGCTTTTGTGCAGCGAGAAAGAAAACCAGCCACTGCCTTGTTTCGCTAATATTTCATGAATCGGACAGATCCTCTGTAGTTTACACTGAACTTGAACCAAAAGTTGTGCTTTTCCTCCCTCGGTCCCCATCTAGGAGCAGACATTGATGTGGATGCAGCAGCCCACCACATCACCACCATGTTCTCCACATGCAGCAGCAGCAGCAGCCCTGTGTACCACCACTACACCACCGCCACAGACACCACCAACATACAGCTGGCCTTCCACATGCTCACTGATCAGATTATCAAGGAGAACCTGGCAGCCATCCAGCTGCTGTGAAATCCTCCTGCAGACTCTTTAGAAATTAAAATTAAAGATTGATTTATTTTTAATCACAGTTATTTTTCTATGTGAAAAATGTTTTAATGATTAAGTTATTTACCTAACTAATAATTTATGGATCTTCAAGCTGTGCAGTTTCCTTTTATTTTAAATCATTTTAAATAAAAAAAAATGTTTGTGGAAAAGCCTGACTGGTCCATTTAAACTGGTTTGTTTAGCTCTATTCCCCTTTTAGGAACATGTTTTTTCCTCTTAAATAAGAACAACACAATCACAAATACCAGCATGTGAACTACAACTTTAGAAAAATGCCACATTTTCTAGATTTAAATCTTTCCTTGACACATTTAATGCCTCTTAACGGTAAAAAAAATTTAATTTGCCACTATAGTGTTTGAAGTCTGCGGATTGATTTGATTGATTTTGGTTTAGATGTAAAAAATACAACAGACCATAATGGGGTTTTCATGAAGCAGTTTCAACAATGCAATGTGATTTATTAATGAAAACTCAGATCATATATGTACATTCATACATTACTTTTACCACGTAAAGTTTTATGACAGTTCTATCTTAAAATCAATACTTTAAAGGAAATGGTACATGGAAAAAGTAGCGTCTTCCATTTAGAGCAACCCCTGTGTTAAGATACAAGTACAGTTTTTTTTTCTTTCTTCTTCTTAAATTGTCACTCCTTCAAGAAGTAGGCTTCATGGTCCAACTGTCGCCTCCACAGCTCAGTCTCCCGCACAGTCTGAGGAGTCCAGAGAGAGGAAGACGTCGGCTTTGCACTTAAATGAACCCTTGATTTCCCGGATGAGTTCACAGCTCTGCAGGTCTGGTGTAATATCTTTGACACAAACAGGCTGTTTGGAGAGAAAAAAGACACATGATGAGAATATATAACCTCTATAACATTTTGTACTCTTGAATCAGACCTTTTTAAAAATGCTTTTGCTATACCGCTGCAAATACTCCTGCATGGAATGAAAGCAGTCAGTCAGTTCATGATCCCAGGAATGGTGGTTTATCATCTGTCTCACTGTGTATCTACAGAGGAGGATTCTGGAGACATTTACTCCATGACTTCACTCAAAACTTCTCTGAATTTCAGAAAACAACACTTGTTTATTTTTATTACTGGCTTTTTAATACAGTTTGTTTATAATGCAGTATTTAATATTAAAAAAATGGAATGGAATGACACAAAACAATGTGATTACTTCCTCCATAGCTGCTCTGTGACTTAGTTTCTTTGTGTTGTAGATAAAACTGGTGCTGAATGGACAACTCCCTCCTGATCATGAGTCCAGGAAATAAAACACAGGATGATCAGAGCTTTCATTACACAGTTCTTAGGATCATTAACGTGCTCACACTGGGAACAAATCAAAAACTGGCAATCCTAAAGTCTGTAATATACTTTCTTTTGCTTCCAATCTATGACTCCCAGTTTTCCCAAATCTTCTTTCTGTCTGATTTAACTATGTGGTTTGCCTTTATGCGAATTCCCATGCTGGTAGAAATCGATGAGCACTGACCAGGGTCTTCAGGATGGAACTGTGCGGAGTGAAATCAGAGAAGACGCTGTTGCTTTCAGCCTCTCCGCTGTCCGACGGCTCCGGCTCCTCTCTCCTCACGTACGGTGACCTCCGGATCCCGGACAGCAAGCCGGACGCTCTGCCCACCGAGTAGTAGCTCGGTCCGGCCATCTGCTTGTACCAAGCTTCCGTAGGACTGCAAGCGACCAGCACGGAGATCACTACGATGGTTAACGCGAGTTTCGATGGCGTCTCCATGTCGAGCGCTGAAGCTGTGTGGTCCTGCGCACCTTTCACTTTGGCGATCTGGTCCTCCTCCTGGTTGTCACCGCGCACTGCTTGCATCCCCCGTTTCTGAGTCTCTACTTATAGGATCCCGTCATCATCCTCCAGTTTCGTCAACGAAAACTACCCCTGTCATGATGATCGCTGTCACACTGGTGAGAAAATCCCATTTGGCCCGTTTTGTGCGTCTGGAACTGTATCTCCAACATGTGAGGTATAATGTTGACAATAAATCAGCACTTTAGGAGCTTATTAAAAAGTGTGGAGAAATCTAGTGAAGGTCTTTCTTTCTTTATGGTGAAGTTGTTTAGCAGAGTACTTTTTAGCCCAAAGCTCAAGATTCAAGATGTCATTTCTCTGTGCATCAAAAAACAAGAGTACCACAGAAAAAAACACAACAACCAGCAGCAGGTTAAAGAAATAACAAAATAATATAAATAGAGATTTGCTAAAAGGGCTGCAGGGTGATGCAGTTGGTAGCACTGTTGCCTCGCAGCAAGAAGGTCGCCGGTTCGCGTCCAGGTGGGGACACCGGAATCTTTCTACGTGTTGTATGTTCTCCCCGTGCAAAGTGGGTTCTCTCCAGGTTCTCCGGCTTCCTCCCACAAGTCCAAAAACATGTTGAGGTTAATTGGTGATTCTAAATTGTCCATAGGTGTGAATGTGAGTGTGCTTGGTTGTCTGTCTCTAAGTGCAGCCCTGTGATAGACTGGCGACCTGTCCAGGGTGTCCCCTGCCTTCGCCCTAAGTCGACTGGGATAGGCTCCAGCCCCCCATGACCCTAGTGAGGATTAAGCGGTGTATAGATGATGGATGGATTTGCTAAAAGACAAACAACATGAAGACATTCAAACACAGCAGCAGGACAGGAGCCCAGTATGTCAGGGTGTTATGAGGCGTTCAGTGGCAGCACAGTGTGTTGAGGTGTACAGTACACACAGATTCATCCAGAGGCATCACAACATTTAAAGTGCTGCCAAAAAAAAAGTTGCCCTTCAGGTCCGCTCAGAGAGTTTGTTTCTGTCGGTTGGGGGAGATGTTCATGTGAGGGGTAGAGGGGGGGAGAGGGCACAGTCACGTTAAAATTCTGAAACTGTTGAGCATCCTGTTGCACAAAGGCTGCTGTGTCTTTTTCCACGATGGCAGGAGGGAGAACAAACTGTTGGAGGGGTGGTGGGGGTCCCTCATGATACTCGTGGCCCTGTGAGTGCAGCGTTGGTTGAAGATCTCCAGCAGGGAGGAGGAGGCTAGTGCCAACGATCTTGCTGGCTGTCTTCATAATCCTCCTCAGAGGATGTTTCTTCACTGCCTTGCAGCTGCTGAACTACAAAGCAAGGCCCCAAGATATGATGGTTTCAATGGCGCCTCTGTAGAATGTGGTGAGATGGGGGCAGGAGGCCAGCCTTCTTCAGACGTTGTGGGGGATGGAGACGCTGGTGGGCCTTTTTAACAATGGCTGTGGTGTTGGTAGTGAAGGTCTGGTCGTCCGCTAGGTGGAACCCGAGGAACTTAGTGCTGCTGCCTCTCTCCACAGTGGCGCCGCTGATGGCAGCGATATGCGGTGGAGCTCGGTAGCTCTCCTGAAGTTGATCACCGACTCCTTTGTTTTGTCGACACAGAAGTGATTGTGTGAGCTACACCATGATGTTAATTGCGCAACCTCCTTCCTTCATGCACTCTCATCATCATTGCTGATCAGACCCACAGTCACTGTGTCATTAGCAAACTTAATAATGTGATTAGAGTTCAATCTGGCAGTGCAGTCATGGACAAGCAGACTGAACAGCAGAGGGCTGAAGACACAGCCTGGATTCAGACAAAGCTTAATCAAATGTACAGTGTTTAGTCTTACAATGATTCAAATGCAAAACAATATTACTGGTCACCATCCATCTAAAGTGAAAATGCTAATAAATCAGACATAAACACCACCACAAAATCTACAGTTAGAGTAACACTTGGTTGGTAAATCTTCTCAGCAGTTGAACTAAAAAGCCATAAAATGTCAGTGCTAACTCTGCTATGACTGTGCTTTAACCACAACAAAGAAACATCAGACTGCAAAGCATGGGCACAGGACATGGGTTTTCTGCATACGGGGTATGTCTCATATTCAAGTCAGATGCTGAAGTCTGCGTTAAATCTGCTGTGACCTAATTTTAGGGTCTGGGAACCTGAGTGTTTTGCACCCATTACCTTATTTTTTTTTTCATTGCAGGAAGTTGTACTTACTGATTAGAAAACAATAAATGCAAAGAGCAGAACTTCTTCCAAATAGTTTAAAGTTTGTTGGCAAGCTGAACATCACACATTGTCCAAGATTATACTGATGGGCACGTTGACTGTGGCTGTTACTAATTATTAATCGAATGATTTCTGCACATTTATTGTTTATTGTGCGTCTGAAATTGGTGCTAATTAAAGCTGATTGTTGTAAACTTGTTCATATGACAACATAGGACAAGTCATTTTAAATGCATAAGCTCTGTCTCTTGTAATGTAGTTTAATGCTAAAATATATGTTTTGAGATACTATGTGAAAAGCTGTTTATCATTTCTGAGTGAAGGCAGGATATTTAAAAATAATAATGAAATATTAAGTGAACCCCCTGCTGTAGCCCCAATAGATTTACATTGTCTGTTTGTTTAGTCGTTCTGTAATGACTCACGTTCAGTTATTTTAAATGTTCGCGATGCAGAGCCGACATGCGGTTTCAGGTGTCCTTAAGAACACATCAGTGTTCATCAGATCGGCAGTGGAGGGAGACTCTGCTGTCACTTTAAACAAACAAACAAACTTTTATTTATTTTTTTTTTTGTATTTCTGAAATATACAAATTAATCTCAATCATAAAATTACTACATCATATGCAACATAAAACAATGCAAACCTGTAATGCTGAATAGTCTGAATTTATTTTTGTTTTAGATAGAAAGACTGCTAAAATGCATTTGCATATTCATTGTATTTTATTATTAAAATGTATTATGCTGTATTAATATTTCCTTTTCAAAAGGCTATAGAATGCTTCTGAATTATGAAAAATTACTACATCTTCAAGAGATAGTTATTTTCTGCTTTTACAATGATGATGATGATTTTGACACCTCAACTTAAAATATATTTATTTCATATTTTATTATGATTTTTTAACACTGTAGAATGATATGTTGTTGACACTGGATTGATTACACCCCCTGATCAGGTCAGACAAATTTCTCTGCTGTATGTGTCATAGTAACATAACTTATGATTTCAAAATCTACCATTTGATTTAAGACAAATTCCAAAAGGTTTAATAAAGGTATACGTGGCTCTAAGGCTCCTACTGCTTTTTTCCCCCCACAGAATATTGGACAACACCTCCCAGAGCCATACTTCTCATTGCTGCTGTTGCTGTGCCTCTGGCTGTGATCACTGTTATTGGTGTTAGAAGGTAAGCTGGATACACAGTGAGAAATCCACTGGGGTTAAATGGCAGCATCCAGACTGGCTTAACACATACATATAACTTTGCAATAGACTAATATAAAAAGACAAATTGCTAAGCCTTTAGGGACCACAGATAGAGTGATCCTTACGTGAAGCAGATTTCTTCCTTTCTTACTGAACAGCATGTAGGAACATATGCAGACTTAACACATACGCATGCATATACTTTGCATACATGAATAATAAGCGCAGTAATTAAAAAGTACTACCCAGTTCCTTCAGATAAGATGTGGCTTTCACTAAATATGGTGAGTGACCGGTCACATATCTGATTCTCATGATCTGGTATTTATTACTTCAGGGTCTGCTGATCTATATCATGATCATGTCTTCTACCAATCAAACAGTGATCAAGAGATAATTCCAGATGCAAGAATAGGAGAATGAAGACACTAAAGACAGATTGTGAGGAAGACAAAAAGGTGGAATTGTTACTGTTGATAATTTAGAGAGTAATTTCACATTGTGGTCTTACTTTTTTTGTGGCACACATATAGACTTTATGTTAGGACCAGGACCGTCTGAGGAACAGAGCTACTTCTGCACTTGAGTCTATAAAAGACTAGTGAAACCTCCATCGATGTGTCTGTAAATACTTTGACGGGCATCGCAAAAGAACGCAGAGGTTGTTTTTTTTTTGTGTGGTTGTGGGTAAAAAGGAGCGTGTAGAAGCTCATAATAGAAACATATAGGTAGACTTTCATATAGGGGGAGGAAACTGTTGCTAAGGTGCTAATCATGTGTTATTTTTTTATGAGTGCATTCAGAATATTGACAACTGGCTCATGTGTGACAATGACAAGTCATGACAGATGAATCACTATGAGGGAGTCACAACTGAAGTCGTCTATGCAACTGTTTACTTCAACAAAAATAAAACCACACATGTGAGATATTTATACAACTTCAAACAATAGTTCATGCTGTGTTGGAGGCATCTACTGTATACTGACACTGTAGCAGTAGCAGGAGGCAGCAGAAGGAATGAAGACGTGATTTACATCCTGCAGGAAAAGCTCAGTGAGAAATGACACATTCAATTCAATTCAATTTTAGTTGTATAGTGCAGTTTACAACATATGCCATCACACAGCGCTTAACATAGTAAGGTATAGGTATATATTACTACTATTATTATATATTTAATCCCTATCTTTTATATATATATATATATATATACATATATCTTTTCTATATACCCCCCATTCAGAAGCCCATTTTCATATTCTGTTGTCACTATTCTCTTTGTTTGCACTATTTCTTATATTTATATGTACATTTTTTTTTATTCTTTTCTCTCGTATATGTGTATGTCTGTTTAATGCTGCTACCAACAATGTGAATTTCTCCACTGTGAGATAAATAAAGGCATATCTTATCTATCTTATCTTATAGACCTTACAAATTTAAACAGAGAATCCAACAATCCAAAGTAGCCTTTGGACTCCGTCTGAGCAAGTGGTTGGCAATGGTGGGAAGGAACAAAAAAAAAAAACCCCAAACATTTACCTAACATTTAATTAATAATTATATATTTGAGACAGCTTAATTGAAAACACTTTTCTTCTTTCACAGAGAGCATCTGCTAAACCCTTTGTATACTGAAGCTTCTTAATTTGACAACAAACAGTTTTGCAGTGAATTGTGTGCAAACAGTTTTTTAAAAAAATATATTTTCCTCCCCTAAACACTGATATTAGCAGCTTGTAATACCTGACAAGTTAGGATCAACACAAGTGCAAGTCAGTAGAAGCCTTCATAAATATGAGTGAAAGTGGTGTGAACTGACTTTTAGAACATGTGAAATCAGCTTTTATGGTCCCATCTGGTCACGTAGCTGTCTGTAAAGGTGATGCACGTGTTGGCGTTTAAAGACGATCTAATGGGAAATCTAGTCAAATATGCTCATTCTGCACCAAGTGTGTTTTTTTTTTTTAACTGCACTGTTGCAATGATTTTGTTGGCGGCTTGTGAACTTGTGTGTGAGAATTCATAAAACCTCCTGCTATTTACAACAACTGTTCTGGGGTTTCTGACGCATTCTGAGATGTCCTCGTTTCCACCCTCAGTTTTTTTTTGTTTCTTTTGTAATGGAGCGTGTGGGCAATACGCTGCCCTGTAAATCAGCCATACCCTGACTTAAGCCTATCTCAGTCACTGAGAAGCTGCACTGCTGGGACATTGTAAAAAGCTGTAGCGATATCATTGTTTTCAATCATCTTGCTACAATGAAAACTGTAAATTAATGTGCAAGTGTATAATTGGAGGTTTTGCTGACACACACACACGCTCGAGGTCTTACGCAAATCACTAAAGTGTCTGTTTACGAGCTGATGACTAAGTGTTACTATACTCTGGGGAATCATGGCTGCATACTGTTTATATACAGTTTTGAGCCAAGCCAGCTACCGTACTTTAACCGGGAAGGTGAATAAGACATTACTAAGCTAAGCAGTGCTGAGACAACTTCCCCATAGTGTACTAAGATTTGAGCCATTGTTGTGTGAAAAAAAAAAACACCATGACACCACAGTTGCTCCGACTCTGCTACCCATAAGCGTGCCACGTTATTTCCTCCCTGCAGGGTTTCATATGTATACCGCTTGCGTTGAAATGCAAGCGTCGCACTAAGTCTGTGGCATGACCCCATTTCAGGACAATCATGAACTTGCCGTTGTAGAGAGAAGACAATCTATATTTTCTGTTCTTGCAAAAACCCTGCAGAGTTTGTTGAGAGATATTTGATTGATTAGAGGCTTCATAATATTTATCTATTCGAGAAAAGAGTGCACAGGACATGTGTGCTGAAGGTAGAAACCTGAAATGGACCCTGATGCTGCTGATTCTGGGTGGTACGTACAACATTTATATCTTATTTTAAGGTAACGTTAAAATAAATGGATAAAGTGGACATTGTGACATTTGTTTCAGGTATTTTCTGCAGAACTTATAGAGTGAGGTATCGCCGGCAACATATCTGTGCAGTGAAAGGATCATCTGTTGTGTTTCGTTGCTCATTTTTCTATCCGGACGGTGAGAGAGTACAAACTGTCAAGTGGGGTCATGAGAGGCACAGTATTTATGCTGGTCCTTTTATTTATGACAGTGAGTTAAATAATGCCTCTTCAAGATTTGAGTACATCGGTAACAGACATCACAACTGTTCATTGAAAATACATCAAGTGGAGCATAATGATGCAGGAAAATACACCTTCAGATTTACAACTGACTCCAGAGGTGGTAAATGGACTGGTGGAGGTGGCCCAACACTGAAAATAATTGGTAAGTTTTTGTTTTCTTTTCAATGAACAGAACAGAGTTCAGAGTCTTCTAATCTGCAAAGTTTGAGACATTAACTGCATGTTTGTTTGTTTTTTGTGGGGCTTTTTTTTTGTTGTAGATTTGAGCATGGTTGTGTCAAAACCTAATGGAAAGGAAACAATGAAGGAAGGCGACTCTGTGAATCTGACGTGCGTAAACAGCTGTGATAAACTTTCATCTGAGTTCACCTGGTTTAAGAATGGAGAAAACATAACTGAAGGACCTGTGCTTCATTTAAGAAACATGTCCGTGACAAACTCTGGAAACTACACGTGTTCTTTAAAATCACACACAGGAACAGCTCCACCAGTCAAACATATTGATGTTGAATGTGAGTACTGGACAAGAGCAGCAACAACACAAAGTTTAACACAAAGAATGAGGAAAAAATTAAACTGTATAATATAGATAAAGGCAAAAAATAAATAAAAAATTGTGTGTTAAACAATCTTCATTTCCTTTATTTGGAAAATACACCAAGATATCAAAACCATCGCAAAACCTAGAGTGTAAATAAGATAAAATAAGAATAAAAATCTCTAACTATGAACAACCATAATATCTCATTTTTTAAAAAAGAGAATGTTTTTAAACATTAAAAGTTAAAATAGATTCAAAAATGTACTGCAAATGTAAAAGTATCTCCTTTTCTATTTAATAGATAAAACTGTCCAATTCAAGGTTAAGACTGTAAATATATTTCTAAAATAAGATACAATTGACGACAATTACCAGAATAAAAAAGACTGGTTCTGGAATTTTACACAGATTATTTTGTTGAATGAGGGACGTCTGATATGTTCACAGATGTTTTCACAGCAAAAAGGCTGAATGAATGCATTTTCATCATTGTTTAATATCCATAAGTGTTGGTAACCTGTAAAATATATATAATGTAGGTTCTTATTATATTTATCTAGTAATATTTTTGATCTTCTACACATGTAAATATCCTTCATTAAATAAGACAAAAAACACACACTCTCATGTAATTTTTTTTTTAATAATTTAAGAATAAATAAATTATTTGCCTCCTTGAGTGGCACAACTCTGACACTGAAGTGTCAAAATAATCAGTTTGAGAGTTTACATCATGACTCTGATCAGCTGGTTTTCTTTCAGATGGTCCAAAGAATACATCAGCATCTGTCGAACCATCAGCAAAGGCAGACGCCGGAAGCAATGTCACCCTGATCTGCAGCAGCCACGCAAACCCGCCAGTGGAAAATTACACCTGGTTTAAAATATACGATAACGATATTATAGCTGTGGGACAGCAGCATGAATACCGTTTTAACGAGGTCTCTCAGGGTGATGACGGCCAGTATTTCTGCAGAGCCACCAACAAACATGGGAGTCAGAACTCCTCTGTCATAGCGTTGGAGATTAAAGGTAAATGGGACAAAGCATACAACATTTTAAAATGTTAGACTTTTGTTGACACTGGAGAAAAACATTCAATCATGTGTTTTTAAATTTTTTTTAATAGGAGTCCTAGTTGCTACACATTACACTGAAAAGTGTTTCATGTTGTTGTGTTTGTCTGTAACAGTAAATCTTACAGCAGAACCACTGAACTGCATACACGTGTTCCTAATAATGTGGCCACTCAAAATCATAAACGTCTCTTTGAAATGATCACTTTTGAACAGCTAGATCATTTTGTGTTTTGATCAGGATTTGCAAAAAATGAGGCATTAAAAATGTGCTTGTTATTCTTAACTAACGCATCAGCTTTGTCCTTTAGTATTCTGGCCAACACTCACCAGAGATGTACTTATGATTGCTACATCTGCTGCCACACTTCTCACTGTAGCCACTCTTGTTGCCATCAGAAGGTAAGCTGTATTTACACCACAACACCGTCAAGATAATCTTTTAATGATCTTACAAAGTCTGTTTTTCTGTTTAAGGCTCAGCAAAAAAGGAACAGTGTCACCAGAAGCTGACTGTGAGGTGGACGCACAGGTGACACCATCATCACTGCCCTAAGCTTTCTCTGGTTCTATTGTTTTCTGATTTTATCAGTGAATCATGTTTGTGTGTGGTTGTCTGTTAAACAACTTATGACAAGCAAGTCAAACCCATAACCGGATCCTCTTCTTTTCGTGAGCATCAGATAAGAGAACAGACACTGTTTTTGTTGAGTGGGTGTGGGGGAAAAACAACACACAGTTGCCCAGAATTCAGATATAATGTATGCATAACATTATAAGTGTATTGTAATGCTCTTTCTTATCATATGCTTCTTTTTGATTGTATCTAGAATTCAGTCTACGTCAACTGGCCTGTGTGTGATGCGAGTAAATATAATCAGTGTGACGGAGAACTTGTCTATGCAACTGTGAACTTCAACACCAAGAGGAAGTCAGACGTGTGAGAGTATTTTACAGCTGTAACCTATTTGTCAAACAATAATTAGCATTATGCTGCATTAGAGTCACTTATCAACCGTATCATCACCTCCAGGGTGGAGCAGATGGACCCTCTCAATGATGATGGATGTGTGATTTACACCACAGTGGGAAGGTAAAGTTCAGCAAGTCCACATTAATAAATGTCCGTGGAAGAAAGTGCAAACATGTTTTTTTTTCTTTTTTCTTTTTCAGGAACCAGCTCCTGAACCCTTCGTGGACTGAGCCTTAGACATACACACGATGCTTTGAGGATATCTGTTTAACTGGGTATATTTTGTGATTTTATTTACTGAAGTTTTACAAAAATGTTTCTATCTGTTGCTTAAGAATTAAAGTGATGATGACCAGTATAATCAAGAAGGCAAGAAAACAGGACAAATAAAACACAAAACACGTTTCCCCCCCAAACATGGACACTTATCACTCAGAAAAGAACAAAACAAAACATCACGACAGATTCTCAAAACCGTGAAACATTTTTTTTAGACACATCAACACAACTTGAACAGAAATCAATGCACTCTGAGGTGTGAAGCAGATCATGTGTAATCAAGCACACCATCAGCATTAACCCCCACACTGTTCTATTTGCTAGTTCTGTAAAGGTTGGACACATCTCATCATTAAAACCTAATCTACCATGCAGGGAATAAGTCCTTTAATAGCCATAATTTGTATTGCACTGATTTTGTTGTTTGCACTTTGAGAATGTTCCGAGCTTCTTCAGGGTTTGAGTTGTGTCCTTCTGACACATTCTCACATGATGCTCTTCTTTTAGTCTGTGTTTCTGATTTCACCAAGTCAAGAGTGGGAAGTAAGCTGACAAACACAGAGAGAGAGAATATCTCAGCATCTGTTATAGAGAATTTTTTTTTTTTAAACACAAAGTACTGTATTTTCACCCACTGGATGTATATTTTGCAAGTGCTGTTTTGTGTTGTTGGCACTGTAAAAGTGAATATTCTCAGGAGTTTGCAAGGTTCTTAAGAGTAACCTGCTCATATTACAGACAATTGTGGCAGGTTCAGTGGGCTGTAAAAGTTTAAATTATGCGAAAGCAATTAAATACAGACGTTTATGTGAGACACAAGCTATGATTATATCGTACAACTGGAAGCAATTTTTAAAAAAAAAACAAAACACTGTGTGGCAGAAAGAAACACTTTGTGTAGAGTTTGTCAGAGTAAAACTGCAAATAGATTTTAAATGTGAAATGATGTTCCTCTTATTCTTTCTTCTTAATGATGTTTTTACGACATCTGCGCAGTCGTCCTTCAGGGATTTAGTGGGTAAAACGCCTGTACGTTTAATATGCAAACATCCATCAGGACTATCTGTGTGAGCTAACTACTATTTGATGGCAGGTTTTAATTGCAGATTAATGAACCAAAAGAACATGATTCTATTACTTTGTGTCTGACTTTTTAAAATAAAATTCCTGGAAAATCCTTGTGAACGTCTTAAAGAGCTGGTCTCACTGTTTTATTCAGTAGTTTACACTTTTTAAACCTGGCTCATGAATACAGTTACGAGTCTCTACCTTTGTGTAGCCATTTCTATTTTTCATACAAGCTCTAAAACCTTTGAATCTGACAGCCTGAATGTACACCTTACCTGGGAGTGCAGTCCAAGTTACCATGGCAATGCACCAAAATGAAGAAAATGAACCTCGAAAGCCAAAGTGGAGTTATCTCGCCGTAACACCCAAGATTGGTGTTTCAGCAAGATAACTCAATAACCACAACAGCCTCGATGAAAGGAAATGGCTGGGAAATTCAAAGTTATTCTGCCCTCTGTTGAAAATATAAGAGCATAGCATGGGTTTTTAAATAAAAGTGGAGTCTAACATTGCTCTTGTGGTGAGTTGTCAGGGACAGCAAGGCCTTCTATGCTGGCCTAAACTCTATCAGAGTCACTGACTTAGGTTTGAATATATTCCCATTATTGTTATTGTTTTTGTGTTTTTTTTTGTGTTTTTTTTTTTACAAATAATAGTCCAAATTGGCTCAACGGTGGTTCGGTGGTTAGCACTGCAGCCTTGCAGGTAGAAGATCCCCAGTTCGCGTCCAGGTTAGGACGCCTGGGATCTCTCTGTGTGGTGTTTGCATGTTCTCCCCGTGCAGAGTGGGTTCTCTCCGGGTTCTCCAGCTTCCTCCCACACAGTCCAAAAACATGTTGAGGTTAATTGGTGATTCTGAATTGTCCGTCGGTGTAAATATGAGTGTGCTTGGTTGTTTGTCTCTCTGTGTAGCCCTGTGATTGACTGGTGACCTGTCCAGGGTGTCCCCTGCCTTCACCCCCTCACCAAATATATGGCGCAGCTGCAGTTAGAAGATACTTGGTGAAGTGTTTTAACTGGTTTTTTTGCTATGATACTGGCATTCATTCTCTCTTCATGATAGTTGTTGATGTTATACTGCCTTTCTGTATGATATTGATGGTTTCTCTGGCAGTGGCATCATAATGACGCGTTTAACAAGTGGTTTGATTCTGGTAGGAGGCCACTGAAGGCCAAGGTGTAAAATACACGGCCCACCACTAACATAAAAAAAAAAAAACACAGCTCTCCTCAGTGCATGAGTGAGTGTCATGTGGGAACTCCAGAGGCACAGCTCATAACAGAATAAAAGGTCATCCCACATCAAGTTATCCTTTACAGAAAATTTGCAGGAGCAGGATGTGAAGGAAAAATTACTTTGCTCTGCCTGCAGTTAAGCCTCTGAAGATGATACTGACCTTTACTCCCCTAAACTTTTCCCGACCTCCCCAAATGGATATCATATGACATCAGGCTATCAAACCTATAACAGATATACACCAGCCTACAAATCTTCTTATATAGGATCTTGAACCCGTGTAGATGTATTGTAGGAGGACAGGCAGGCGCTTCCTGTGCCTCTCAAGGCCAGATTGCACTAAGGTGCCGAGCTATCTTCTTGTTTTCCTTTCCATCCGTAAATCTAGATGTGATTTCCCACCAAAGGACGGTGTCAGGTCTAAGGTACGAGAGAACCCTGAGAACTGATGCTGGCATTGCATGCATGAACTGCTGCTCCAACAGTGTCCGTTCTCCTGAAATCAGTTAACCTTATTTCAACCTAAGTCATCTGAGTCTCCGGTGTGTCTCTTTGTGCCGGTTTCCTCATCTTCCTTCAACCTCTTCAAGAATTCCTCAACAAATTGGCGTGATGAACAGGATCTCAACAGAACGACGAGTGGTAAGTGCACACTTCATTTTTGCAAACTGCCATGTCTGAGTTTGATGAGATTCTAAAATCCTGTAAAATGTAAGATTCATGTGGAATTAGTGTTAATACCAGCTGACCGCCTGGAGGCGAGTGCAGCATGTGCAGTGATTGGGTGTTTGTCCCTTCAAAGGGATGGTTTGGACTCAATGTGTGAGCATTCCACCTCTGGGAAGACGTTCTAGGTAAATTGAAATGTGTTTATCTGTGGAACTGCAAGACCATTCACTGCTTAACCAGGGTCTGGCGGGGAGTAAGTGTCAGAGGGAAATTCGTGAGCAGATACAGGTGCTGAACAATTCATCTCAGTGGATGATTGTCAAAAGAACATCAACTTTTGAGTTGAAGCTGTGTAAATGAGTTTGGTCTCGAAACAGACTGACACATATAAAGAGCTTTGATGCAGTTGGAATGATGGTTGCGCTCATGCTGTGTGTTTTTGTTGTTGCAGTGTTCTGTTTCTGTTTTGTAAGTGCATGAATAAAACAGAAGAGAGTGAATGAGATAACCATGGGTGGCCATCAGTCCAAAGCAGGAGAGGCTCAGTGCCAAAATATAGTGTCAAAAAATTCTGCGACTGAAGCAGCCACAATCCACCTCACAATCTAAGACTCAATCTGAGTCAAAATCAGATGCCTCAGCAGTCGATGTTAAACCTGACCCCTCTACAAGAAAGCAAATGCAAACAATCCAAATTCAGGCTCCTATCGTGAATGCTTTACTGTTGACACACCGACAGGTGTTGTAGTGTTGATCTACTTTAAAGGCAAAGTTCTTACAGAAAACAACACTGCCCACTTTCATTTTTCACTATATATTTTTCTCTTCTGCTTATGAACACTGCAGACCTGGATAAGGAGCAGTTCTTTGTCCCTGTGACTTTAAATGACTCCAGGACTGATTTCAGCCATCACCCAGCCTGAGCTCACATGTAGCTTTGAAATGTCAATAAAACAAACCTTACTCTGCCATGCTGAGGACCTCTTACACTTTGCTTATCAAATGAACTGGTGCGGCATTTCTTCTTTGTGGGCATTGCATGGTTGTTTGCTTTAAGAGGCAGGCCTACTGCCAAGCAAGGCACTATTTTATCTGCCCTTTAAATTAGGTTAGTTACTGAGTATCTTGCTTGTATTAATTCCAGATAAGGGCAAAATTTTAGACTAAATCTGAAAAATGCTAAAATTGTAATCCCAAACAATACATTTGCAGCAAAAGAAAATGTACTGTGATGCCATAACCATCACGTTATGTGATTGTGACACTCACGAGGAAAGAACATATACAGGTTGGAAACATATAAGTGTTGTCTGAGAGCTTTCCTGTAGAAGAAAAATGCTTCAGAATGAAAATACAAACATAAAAGGATTCATAACTTCCTTGAGTGCAGAGGCATCTCTAAGGGTGGGCAGGTGGGGGCCATGGCCACATCTGAAAACTCGCTGGCTACCCCAGATCTGATTGGTCAACGTCATTCACTGAAACTCCAGTGTTCAAGTTCCAGGACTGAAAACAGCATTAGGTGACTGTTACAGCTCTCAGCAGCCATTCAGCTTGCGGCCCGTGAATAGACATCACAGTGGGCACAAACGGTGAAGTTTGTGTGTCTTATTGTTGAGGAAGACTCACACATAGGCCTTAAAACATTAACAAGAGCTAAGGTTTAGTTTGTAGCTGTTTGTAGGAGTGTTTCTTTAGAGTTCATTAAATACCTGCAGCATGGCACAGCAACGGGATCTATAAGAACATCTCCAAAGAGAGAGAGAGAGGTGCATTTACGAACAACACAACACAATGTGTAACTTGATTAACTACATAGGATTGCAGAATTATCCCCAACATGGAGGCAGGGCTGATCAGGCGCTACCTGTAAATGACACTGTGTGCTTTCTTCACCTCAGACAGGTGAGCTGTCACACATAGTTTATTAGCTACAGGTAAATCAACCTGGTACACAGTTGAATCCTGAGCTCCATCACAGCTGGAAATTATTTTACTGTAAAAATGTGAGATCTGTTATGAAAAGTCAAAATATCTTTACCTCATATTAAGTTGTTGATGAGTGAGATTTTTCACGTTCATGCGTGTGGATGCTTTACAAATTAAAGTCGCTACCAAAATACAGAAGACCTAGTAACAATGAAAACACGTCACTCTACCATGAATGGCTGCAGTTAAATAAATAATCATCACACATGGACAGAATTTTAAATATTGAAAAAATAAACTATGAACATGCACTCTGACTAACTCTTTCCTCTAAAATACACCGCAGCATCCCTTCTCCTGGTGTTTTGAATGATGGTCACGGTTTTAGTTGATGTGCAGAAGAAAAGGAGTTTCCTACATCACAGCACATATTAGACAAATTTCCAAGTCTCTGCACTGGCTACATGGCCTTTTTTTAAAAAAAAAAGATTTTAAGATGACTTTATTGGTTTACAAAGCTCGTAATGGTCTTGGTCCTACCTTTTAATGCTTTTATCCTGTAAACCCTCTAATTAAGCCAAAGAATATCATTACTTAAAATTGATATTTTTTCAAACTAAGTGTATTGATATATTTCTCTATTTATTTATAGGCTACATTGTCATCTGTTTTATTGATCTTTTATCACTTCACCTTCATTATTGCCTAATTTTGCTTTTATACGTTTGGACTGATGCTGCCTGTCCTCTTTGCATTTATTTATGGTTCCTCAGTCCCTGTTGTATCGAGTCCCTCATTTCTGACATAATGTTTAGTAGGGGTGGGGTAGGTGCTATGGTTTTAATAGGGTTTTTATTCAGATTGTTCTGTAAAGCACTTTGTGTCACATTTCCTTTGTCAGTTATACTTCAGCTTTTTGTGTGTGTGCCACTTGCTTACATGGCCACCAGCCAACCATGTTGTTTTGCGTTTGTGGCCTAGTATATCCCATAATTATGCCTTTAGATGAACTGTTCTTGTGTTAAAAATACATCAATTTATCAAAAATGTAAATATGGGTTTATGGAGTGCCATGAGGAGGAGAATGAGGGTTGTGACCGTTTCCTCCACGCACATGTGAATGACAGGTCACTCCCCCTCCTCAGATCATATTGATGTGAGTCACAGTGAAAGTAAACTTTATTAGCTGACGCCCATTTCTGACAAAACGAAACTTTGGCAGATACGGAAATGAAGGGATAGCAGGTCTTGGATGTGACTAACATCGCCGGTTCACCGCCGGAGCAGCAGCAGCAGCAGCAGCAGGGATGATTCGCGGTCTTTTCTTTTTGCAGAAAACAAGGTAAGTCCGCTCAGACGGGAGAGCTCATGTGTTTGTTAGTGTCACCGAAGAGCTGGAGGTGATAACGTCAGACCTGATGTTATGACAAAGTGGGGATAAACTAATCCTATTAGCCGGAGCAGCTAACAGACGTCGGTGTCACAGCACGTCTGAGTAAGTCTGGCTCAAACGGGGTTGCACTGTGATACAGGTCGGTTGACACCTGCCATATCTGCACATATTATAGTTTTCTTGCTGGGACGTGAACAAGTGACGGAGCTAGCGTTAGCTGCGCAGCTCAACGTAGAGCGAGTGAAGCTGTTAGCCTGTTAGCATCCCCGCTGCTCTGACACAGTAAAGGGTGCTGCACAGCTTTAACTGCAGCCGATACACGTGTCGTGACACTGCGGGGATAATGCCAGGTGTTGACTGTTTTGTACTGTGTTGACTCAGTTTTGCTGTGAAACGAGGTTACAGGACGGGAAAGAGAGAGGAAGTGACTTAAGCCATGTTTTTAGCGAAGCGAATATGTGATTGGTCAAACTGTGGAGCCAAAGATGTTTTCACTGAGAAGAGGAATCACTCCACAGCGGGAAATAAAACGTTCAGAAAAACAACCTGAAACGTGTTTTAATCTGTTGTTCTGGTTCACCAGAACTCAGATACGTACATACTTACATGTTTAAGATAAAACAAAGTTGAGCTTTATTAATCCAGGACATTCTTGCATCAGATATTGCTCAGAAAACAAAATACTTAAGAGGAGACTACAATCAAACTGACAACAATGATTCTGAGTTGCAAATTAATAATTACTAATAATTAAGATTACTGCAGCTGAAAATGTAAAGTTGCACCTGGAATTGAGATGGCAGACTGTATATAAAACTGAAGTGTTACATATGGCACACAAAGTGAAATGTGTTTTATAATGTTGTGTGAGCTGGGACCACAAACAGGAACTCTTCATTTAAATTCACCGCCAAGCTTTTCACCTGCAATTCTATTTTTGCACTGTTCTATGCAACATTACCACAGCCATCATTTGCAGACATGTGAAACATTTTTTTTAAGGGTTTCTTTCATTACAAAAATAATTACAAAAAACATTGATCATTATGTTGCAGATTTGAAGCATGTAATGTATATATATATAATAATCAGAAGGAAGTGTTGGATTATAACTTGGAGCCCATGTATGCATAATGTGTGCAAAAAACTTGTATTGCATTTCTTTTCTACCTCTGAGTAAAGTTATAAAAGGTAAGATCAAATAAAATTCTCTGTAACTGCACAAAAAACACAGTTTGTTTTGTCTCGTGACCACAAATTTGAAAAAAAAAAAAAAAATCAGGGTTTGATATGAGAGAGAAGTGAACAAAACTGTTCATGTTTGCAAATAAATGCAGGCATACAAAAAAAAGAATATTTAATAGATTTGTCCTAGTCAGAAAGTTTTTAAGAGTAACAATTATGCAAATAAATCAGCTTTTATCTCTCAAGCATTCACATAATGAAAAGTGTTTGTATCTGTAAATGTGTCTGTATTTATTTTTCAATCACAGACCCCGATGTTGACTCCTTATTGACATAGCTAAAACAGTATAATCATAATAAATTATAAATACACTGTACTTGATAAGGACTGGTTACACATGACATAGACATGTAAATATGTTTGGACAAAGTGCAAAAAAAACCCCATCAATTACACCCCTGTTCTTTGTGGGTTTAAACGTTCAAGCCTGTTGTTGCCTCAAGGTGCAGCCAGAAGTTTAAAAAGCTAGGGATCTCTCCACAGCCAGAGGCGAGCTGGGGTGATTTCCAGCTCAGTTATCCAAAAATGAAAGTGAAGTATGGATCCGTCCATGTGACGTCACTAAATCTAACCGTCCCTTGTGATTCTCAGTGCATATGAATCAATTACAACATAGCAGAATCTGAATCAAGAATTAGATATTAATTACATCATAATGTTATATTATTAAGTTCTAATTTTACCCCATGTTTGAATATGACTCGACCTAGGAGAATTAATCTTCTTCAAAATATTGTTTTGTAAAGTTCTCAGCCTGTAAGTAAGTAGTGCCTACCATCTGTCTAGATGAGAGAAGTTCTAACAGTCAACCTGTCTTGATAAAAATGCCGCTTGGCCTGTTTATTGCTCTTTGCACCCAAATGTCATTTGGTACAGCAGCATGTTTAAACAAGTCCATGTATTTTTTCTGTTTACCTAAATGTAATCAGTGTTACCTTTATACATCCTCGGGATATGGCAGTGTTTTGTTTTTTTTTGAGTAACTTGTATTCTAGTGTGCTGTGAGAGCTCTAAATTTCCTCTCCTCTTTGAATGAAGTCCATTTATCATTGGGTGTTAGTCAGCGGAACTCACGGCAGGCGTGCTGTGGCTCACTGGCACGCTTGCTAAACGATTTCCATACTGGCCACTTAACAAAATGTTTAGAGGCCGGTTTATTGGGTAAGGCTGTTCAAAGTTCAAATGTGGTGTAAACAACTTTGTTCTGGGCGACTGTTGCGGAGCTGATCACAGTTTCGTGAGCCCTCAATCGGCAGAATTGAAACCAAAAGGAATCTGCTCTCTCTTCTTTGCAGGAATGACTGAAGTCTGACGATGAAGTGCTCAGGTTGTGGCCATATTATTGTGGAGAACACAGCCAAGTTCTGCAGTAATTGTGGCAGCAAGCTGTCTGCCCAGCCTGCAAACACAACGGGTAAGTAGATAAGGTTAGATATTTAGTCAAATATTACAACTTCATTAATGGATTTCACAGAAATGTTGCACAGCATACATCATGACCTTTAGGGAACACATCATTTATACTTGTACATTGTATTTGCTTAACAATGCGCCACTAGGAGCTGAGCTGATGTGAGCTTGAAGGCAGACAGACATAATTAAATTACACTTAAATTATACTGAAAAAAGTGAGCATGTAAAGGGATGTGACAAAAAAGAGGTGCATCTGCTTTGAACATTTATTTTATAAATACTTTCATGACATGACAATTTAGATACTTTGCAAAACTGAATTACAACATGCTTCACATGAACATAGTGAAAGATGACAATGATCGTTTGCTGAGTGTAATTTTTCTGGCCCTCAAGATGGCAGTGTTTATATATTACCTGCTCACGGTTTCCAGACAGCAGGATGAGTGGGGAGCATCTTTAGACACTGTTTGAGGAAACATTTTCTTAACCAGCATTCTAAAATACCAACAGAGAAAAGGCAAACTTGAGTCTTTTGACTTAATGAACAAGCCTTTGTTCATCATTTATTTATGTTCCTGACATAAGCTTAAGTCTGTATGCAGCATTTATGCATGTGTACATCGTAGAAGTTGACTTTCACGTCTGAATACTTCCTTTACTGCTCTTCTTGCTTGTTCCTTTTTTCTATCACATGATGCCTCGCTGGGTCTCTATGCTTACATTGTAGAGATAAAGCAAGTATGTTATATGCAAGAAAATCCTATTAGCACAATGCCTGCTAAAGAGAAATCTTCTGTCAGCATTCACTGAATGAGCAGATTGTTACTTGATGTGCACTTGAACTGTCTATGACCGCAACAGATGTACTCCGAACAGACAGAGAGAGCTCCTGTTAGTTGAGGATCAGAGAGACATGGCCCATGTATGGAAGGATAATCAATTGTAATAATTCATGTAACATAAGAGTCATTGTTCACTCTTGAGGAGGAGTATAAAGAGGTATGCTGAAAGAGTTGTGGGACACATTTAGCCAGAAACTCCGCTTGATGACTAATTGGGTCCGCTAGTGTATGCAATAAAAACCCAAGAACTCTTGGCTTGTGAGTTGTTGCTTTTATTTCTGTAATCCTCAGTAATAACACATAGGTGCAGTCTTTTTTTGTCATTGCAAGTATGAATGTGGATATTGCCCCCCAAAATATATTCTTTGCAGTCTTTCAATACAGAGTGACTGCTTCCTTCTGCACAACTTTCACTGGTTAGGAGATGTGATTAAGATTTAGCTAGAATGCAAATCAAATTTCCATCAGTACGGTAAAGTGCAGTACCTGATAGCTCTGGGACTTATTTAATGTCTAATTTTCACAGAGGTTTTCAAACGTCATTGCATGCCGTTAGATTTCTTTAACACTGTATTTTTTATTCCAGATGCAGGAAATGAGCCTCAATCCTTGAAGACAGACTTGGACAATAAAACGGAGACATCAGTCCCTCAGAAAAATGACAACAAAGAATTCAACAAAATTCCTAAACGGCAGAATGAGGAGACGTTCAGCAACCTGAAGAAAAAGGTGAGAGCAATTTTCAGTGGCTTGCCTTGCTTTTTTTTTTTTGTTTTGGACAACTTCATAAGAGTTTAATGACGAACTACACCGCTTACTCTAATAGCCCAGTTGTGCAGTAAATCCTTCCTTCATGAAGGTCATAGTGTTCTTTTGTTGTTGAGACTTTTAGAGGTGTGTTTATTCTAATATATGGACACATGGAGACAGTAGTTTGTATTGAGTTCTACTGTGGATAGACTAAACAACAGCAACACCTCTCTCAGGCAGATTACACAGAGCAGAGGGTTTGGAACCAGTTGAAAATCTAAGTAGTAAAGCAAACATAGGAAGCAGAATCGTTGTTTTTCCCAGTATTCATAGCACCTGTGGACGCTTGGAAAAATGCTGTAATACTAATCCCATATTTTCAAATTTTAAATTCAGTTTTAGTTTTTTCATGCTTTGTGACATTCTAACTTTGTTATACTGCACAAGGCAGGTTGAAGTTGTCTCTGCATCTACCCATGTTTGTGGTAGCTACAAAGAAAGGCAAACCTTATACTGCAGTAAAAGGTTTGTCCGCAGCAAGTAAAAATGAGGCAGGAACAGAAATGTTTGGGGTTTAAGAGGGCTAGTTTAGGGTTTCATATTGTTGGATGTTTGTGAAGCCAATTTGTCCTCCTTGTTTGTCTTTAAGAAAAAGAAGAGACGGAAGAACAGAAAGAAGAAAGATGGCAACATGTCATCAGATCAAGAACAAGGTCCATCTGACATGTCGCATATGTCTCTGGAGGACAATCAGACGAAGAGAACAGAGGACACTTCTGACACTGAATACTCAGACAATGCAATGGATGAAACACCAGATGCACTCCAAGATGAACTCTCCTCACTGCAGAACCAGCCGAGCTCCCCAGCAGCTAACAATACTGCTGCGCCCTCTGAAGACACACAAGCCATATGCAGTGAAAACACATCTGGCACAGCAGAGGCAAGTACAACAGACCAGTCTGAGGAAGCCGCAGGTAAACCTAAAGAGGGAGAGGACAAGGCACAAAAATTAACTACAGATCAGACACCTGAGACGCCACCTGCTGACACTCCGACTCATCCCGTCTCAGAAGACGAAAAGAACACAACCTCTCAGTCGGGTTCTGGTAAAGGAACAAATACCACTAACCCTAAAGGACAAAAAACGGACAGAAACAAATCGCAAAACAAGAAAGACACAGTCGCTACTAAACAATCTACACTGGACCAGAACGCCAACGTGGAACCAAAGCCAAAAGAGACAGCAGACGCCAAACAGAAGGGAAAAGGCAAGCAGGACCAGAAACAGAAGCAGACTGTAGCCAATGAACAAAAGATGATTTTTGGCCCTCAAACATCATCAAAGGTAATGCAGATTAATACTTATGAAAGGTAATGCTCGTTGCCAACTGGAAGCCTGCATATTTAGATAAATAGACATATTTTTTGTGAGTTTAAGGTGTGTATTTCGTGTGCACATGTGATGCTACAGGCTAATAACACAGGCTCCAGCGTGGACCCAGAGGTGACAGAAGAGCCCATGGTGGTTGAGCAGGCAGGGAACAGGCAGGACTCGACTCCAGCAAAGACCTCAGATGGCGACAAAGGATCTAAAGATGCCAGTAAGGATGGCACAAATTCCAACACGCAAACAGGCCCGCCCCCCAAAAGGTGATAAAATTCTCTTTGATGATTGTATACACTGACATGATATCATCTTTGCCTCATGTTTAATATATTACTTTTATTTACTTTTGCTTTTTAGGCCGACGAGGAACAATACGATTGCTGCACAAGACAGACTCACCATTTACTTCCATGCAGTTCTCTCGAAGGATTTCAAATTTGATCCAAAAGAAGATCATATCTTAATCAGAGCTGGGCATCCCATTGGAACATGGAATGAAAATGCAGTTGAACTAAATGTGACCAGGTACTTATTTTTACATTATTAGTCAGTGAAGTTCAGATAGTTGCTTACTCTGATGGCACATCAAATGACACATTCAAAAAGTAATACTCCAAATTTCAGTTTTCATTTAGAGAAGTCCTTGTCAAACATGTACTCTTTTCCATTAATCTGACAGCTTGTGGGTGTGTAGGCCTGCTTGTCCGTGTGTTTTTTGTATATTCTGTCTCACTGAGTTTACACCACTTATATTTGAATTTCTGTTTCTTTTCATGCAGGGATCTTGGAGAACATGGGTTTCTGGTCGAAGGCAGTCTGATGACAGTCAAATCGAAAGCTCAGTCCGTGTCGATACCATACAAATATGTTGTCTACAGAAAAAAAAAGAGCACATATGAGTATGAGTACATATACAAAATGGATTCACATACCACGACCAACAGATGTTTGTTTGTGAAACCCCACCTCATCAATGATGACGGTAAATGAAAACTTCACTAAGTCAAGTTGTAATTGTGTTTGCATGTGTGCTAATAGCATTGCTATACCGTGTTGTATTTTTTACTGAGCACAGTTAAAATCATATCTTTATTGTAATAGGAGACTGGCATCAATATGATGACATCATCTGTGCTGAGCCATCAAAGAACGTGCTCAAACGCATCAAGGATACACTCTGGCCTGAACAGAGGAATAATTTGATCCAAGGCAGAGAGATTGCTGGGAATATCATGCTGGAGAGCATATTTGATCTTCTCAGAAACTGGACTAATACCAACTTGAGAAGTTTTCTGCTCCAGCTGAATCAGTTCGTTCAGGTCTATGGGGAGCCTTTTGTGTATGAAGAGAGACAAAAGAAGTGGTATTCCTTAAACTATGGGGAAGATGAGGTAAGTTCACAATGTTTGTGTATAAAGTCTAGAAAGCCTCTGCTACAGCCAGCTCAACTTACTTCTCTGTACTTCTTCTGTACTGTTGTAGGTGAAGAAGATGCTGAAAGAATTCATTCTGAATAACGTGACTCCTCAGCTGAGGGATGGAGATGGCAAGAGTCTCTACATTCACGACCCCTTGAGAGCAGCAGTGATCATGCTTTATGTATGCAGACAGCACAAAATCAGACTTGATAATGCTGAGCACCATCAGCTCTGTACTGCATTGTGTTTACCCAAACTAGAGAAGGACAATTTCCTTCAGTACTGGACAGATTTTTCTCAGTGCGTGTCTACTCTCAAAAGGTTGGTACCCAATCTTTTTAATAATCTTAGAATCACACAGCACATAACCTATTGAGCTTAAGAGTACTATCCTTAGTAATTATATTTTCTGTAATAATTAATGTTCTGTTTAAATGCCCATATTGTTTTTGTTGTAGTCTGCCAGAAATGTTGGGGAATCTGATAACCACTGTGAAAACAGCGAGAATGCCTCGATGGATTATGGTACTGCCACTTTACCACCTCCTCAAAGGCACCACGAAACCCTTTGAAATACCAACTTCTGGAAACTTGAAGTACGGTCCATCCTGGGCAGGTTTACAAGGCCTTGATATGAGTACATCAACAACCATGTACAGTCAAGACAGAAAGTAAGACTCTACTTTTGCCAGCATATACTGTTGCTTGTTCAGACATCCGTCAGTGCATTTATTTGGAAATAGATCTGCACTACTGTGAGCTTTCTAATTGTTATTTTGTTCTCAGAGCTCTGTTAAATGTGATGAAAAACCACAGACACTTGATGGAGGTGGATGCACTTTTAGTTCGATCCTATTTGTACCTGATGTCAATTGATGAACTCATAGAGTGCAGCGACACCATTAACCCTGAGCTTTTGGACATGCTTCATGTGTTCACTAACAATGCTCCTCACGATATTACTGCTGGCAATTTTCAGGTAAGTGGAAACAAACTACTCATTTCCAGTCTTAATGAATGACTAGAAAGTGATACATTGATGTACTTGTTTATGTTGAGGAACAGCCTCTCATATACAGTTGTAAACACAAGTTTACATACACTTGAAAAGTCCATATCATGGTAGTTTCAGATTATTCCTAGAAGTCTTAATTTTCTATGGTGGAATCATTGAAACACATGCATCTTTGTCACAAAATCTTTTTTTATTTGTTCTTTCATAAAGCTATTATAGGTTTCTGGGAAATATGACAAAGTCATCTGGGCCAAAAATGTACAAACAGCAACTGGAATGATCAGTTATAGTGCTTAAATTTAGAACTGCAAATAGCTACATCATAGTATGGTTATATCGTCCAAGTAGGGATGAATTTACAAATTTACACTTCCCAGCCAATGAAAATCAAGCATTTCCAATGATTTTGTGTTATAAAATTTACTAATCTCCACGTTTTTATGTTTATAGGCAGTATCTGACATTCTGTCACATATCCAAGGGCGTCTTATTGAGGAAAAATACAGGTGATTTACTCCTTACTCATTTTTAATTGAAAAGCATAGGCATGAACTCTGTAGTCACACAAGTTGTACTTGTTGGTTGAAATTCTATTTGAATAGACCACATTTTACCTAAGTCTATGATTAATTGTGTGTTGCATCTTATAATACAAATGTCATTTTGTCATTCTGATAGATGATAAAAATGCTGTTAATGTCAATCACTTTTTCCTTGTTGTTCTCATTGAATATTTCGATTTAAAGATATAGGAAGTGAATTTATGCATATGGATGTATTTAACTATCATTCTTTTTTTTTTTTTAAACATAGATGTTTTACAGAGGCTTATAGGAGAGAGTGCCTGACAACAGCAGTGAGACTGTTAGAGAAGATCTGCAAAGGGGTCAAACCAGCATCATATTTGCAAAACTACCCTGATATTCCTGTAGCGTGCGCTAATCTAGTGGCATCAGTGTCAGACTTTGTTCGATGCAACAAGCAACAGGTATGTAAAGTGTCCTCTAAAACAAAGCAATTCATGGCAGTTGCCCCTTGCTAGTTTAATTATGTACTAAAATTTCACATTTAGGAATCTCAAGAAGGAGACAAAGAGCAGCAATATGCAAAACACTTGGTGATCTCTCAGGCGATGCTCATAATGAGAGACTGGATCAGTCGGTCCTTCAAACAGGGTCTGCTCAGCCGGGGACTGACATCGTTCTATCAAGTTAAAGCAACAGAGGAGATTGAAGTGAGTAGTTTTGTTACACATATCTGTCATTGTTAGACAATGCTGAAAATAGAGCTTTAATTAGCTGTGTTTTTCAGATGTGGAACAACATAATCTCCATCCAGTTCAAAGATGAAGACTGCACAAAAGAGTGGAGGCAAACATTTACCAAGGATTTTGAGGGCAAGTATAAACAGGTAGGTGATTTTGTAAGTTTCTGTTTGTGAATTAGTTTTGGTTAAAGTGCAAAATATTTCATTAATTTATGTGGCCGTGTGGTTTTAGGAATCTTCTCTGGATCAAATTGAATTCTACTGCACAAAGATAGAGGAACTGAGTGATTCCCATCCACATGTTGCTACTCGCATTGAGAGGTGTGCTCTCGAGGCTGTTACAGCTTTGTGTCAGGTATGAAGACTTCTCATTCACCTGTAACATCTACATGTATTACTCGCATAGTTTTTAGCACTCCTGGCCATATTTAAGAACAACACCAGCGTTATCCCACAGTCAACGATGAGAGATGCTGCTCAAAGACAAGAATTTCTATGTAGAAACTCAAGGTCGTGCACAAGTCACAGGTTGCTTGCATGTATTTTCAATCATCGTATTTCTTGTTGTTCTACATCATACGCAGACCAAGTCTGAGGGCAAACTGTTCGAGAGGTTGAAGATAAATTGGAAGTTCGGGAAACTCATCTCTGCCATTATCCAAAAATCCTGGCCAAGAGACACTCATGGGAACTATCAGGAAGATGAAGAAGTGGTCCTTCAGCACCTTCTCTCCTGGACTGCTGCCAAAGACATTTTCCAACTACACGGTATTAGGAAAAACTGAAATATTAAAACTTGCAGACCCCAAACACAAACATTCCATTGCATAAGAAGGTAAAAGGTAATGGTAAAAAATATCTCATCATTAATTTATTAGGGCAAATACAATCAATGCTAGGTGCCCAGGTCAAATTTGGGACTCTGTGGCACAAGACAAGCACAGCAATCATTGGGTGTTTTTAGATAAAACACTGACATGCAAATTCTGTCACCGCAGGCGCAGATGAAAAGCTGATCGAGAAGCTCAGCCCCGATGCAAGGGACAGAATTGCTATAGCCATATCGTCATTCACAGCCATGACCAATCAAATGGTCCAAGGACACATCAAGATCAGCCTGCTCAACATCATTTTGGAGAGGCGAGATGTCTTCTTAGACCTGCTAAAGATTGGTAATAACAGTAAACCTGTCATCAAAGATTCTTGAGTGGTTTAAATGTTTTCCACTGTCATAATAATGAGTGGTATACTGAGATAGTTGTGTGTCTGTGTGTGATTTGATATTAACAGACTGCCTGTCTGAAAATGGGCAATACAAGGATAGTGGCAAAATGAGGAGGCTGTTGCAGTGCAGACAAGATGAAGTGGCAGCTGTGTACCATGAAAAGGAGCTTGTCGATGTCCTTTTAACAATGAGCCACAAACTAGAAGAACATATGACAGGTATGTTGACTGTATCAGAAGAATTAATCAGTTTGGTTTTGATTATGTAATTGCAGCAAATTTACACATGCTTCATGAATTTCCCTGATAGTCGACGTTGCCGAAATTGAAGAAACCCAACAAGTCAACATTGAGATCACGCCTTTGGATCGTTTCATGGAGGTTCATCAGTTTGGTCAGCTGCCCTCTCCAGACGCTGGTGTTGTCACTTACTTCAGTCTGGATGAACAAATCAGAGAAATGGCCGAGGTCCTGTACACCTTCAAGGACAGTTATGTGTTCAAAATGTGTTGGGAGAAACAAGTCAAACTCCTGGCCTCTGAAGAAATGGAAGACGGCGACGACCCTGATGAGCAAGACTTAGAACCTATTACAGGAACACCTGAAGTGATTTATGATGAAATTTTCTTGACTTGCTTTGATGATTACAAAGATATCTATACTCGTCTGAAGAATGGCAGTATAAGGCTAGAAGAGGTCAACCAGCTTTTCCGAGATTACAAGGGCAAGTACGAAGAGCTTGCTCAGGACCTGGACATCATGTGCAGAGTTGATAAATCAATGGACAAACAGTGGATCCACAGCAGGGTTCAGCAGGTTGAGCAGTATCATGAGCTTCATCTTGCTGTGGCTTCAGCTCAAGTTATCATGATGGTCAAAGAGACGCTTTGTCTTAATGGGGACTTCAAGGTTCTTGAGACACTCACAAAAGTGGTAAGTGGCTTTGTTTGTACCTACAGCACTGTATTGTACTCGCTAACCCTCTGAACTACAAAACTGGCAGGCAGGTTGGAAAGATATCCTTAGAAAATATGGCAAAATGACCATTTAGCAAAGCTAACACATATGAAAGCAAATAAAAATATCCATAGTATGTAGAGTCAGATTTTTTCCAGTATTGGTAGCACAAAATGTTGTATATAATGACTCCAGGTTTTACATATTTATGATATTAAAAAACCATAATCAGACAGCTGCATCTGTTTTTTTTTCATGATTTATGGGGTTACAACTTGACCAAAAAAAACTAACAAGAACTGCTTTGGGTTTAAAGTGTCAACATTATAATTTGTAAAAAAATAATAATAATAATAATAATTCCACTAAAAACCTATTTCCAAATATCTTAAGTGCAGTAAGTTGTTGCACATGTAGAGATAGAATTAGTCAAATGAGTCAAAATTACAGAACAGTGTTTTCTTTTACATCTATTACATGCATGACTCCCAGTGATCAGTGTCTGATAGTTGCTGGTTACTTGGGCAAAGGTAACTTTATATTTGACTCTGTTCTCCTTTCAGATTCATGCAGACTTTCAGAAGGAGAAGCTTAGTCGCATTGACAATGAGTTGATGCAGGCTAAGACAGTTCTGGTGGACATCACTGAGCCCCGCAGACAGTGTCTCAACGAGCTTGGACTCAGAGGACACTTTGTAAAATGGGTCAAGGATGCCCTTGAAGGTAAGTGTACAGCGCTGTGAAAAAGTATTTGCCCTCTCCAGATATCTTCTATTTTTGCACATTTGTCACCATTACAGTTTCTCATCATCAAAGTAATTTTAATATAAGACAAAGGTAACCCAAGAAAACACAAATTGCAGTTTTTAAACCATGATTTCATTTATTGAAGGAAAAATGTTGTCCAGCCCCACCTGCTCTATGTGAAAAAGTAATCGCCCTCTTAGCTCAGCAACACCCAGATATGATGACTGCCAGGCTTGCTAAATCTAAGCATCATTTAAATAGAACTTGGCTGCCATATTGTTAAGTAGCTGAGAAAGCAGCACATGATGCCATGTTCTAAAGAGATTCACATGAGAAACAAAGTCATTGACAGTCATCAGTCTGTAAAGGGTTATAAGCTATTGTTAAGGTTCTGGGACTCCAGTGAACCACAGTGAGAGTCATTATCTGTAAATGAAGAAACATGGAACAGTGGTGAACCTTCCCAGGAGTGACTGGCTGACCAAAATGTCTCCAAGAGCACATCAACATCTCATCAAGGGCACAAAAGAACCCCGATGAACATCAGATAAACTGCAGGCCTCACTGGCCTTAGTTGAGGTCAGCGTACATGATTCCACAATGAAGAAGACACCGGGCTGAAATGTCATCTAGGGAAGAGTTACAAGGTGCAAACCACTCCTGACCAAAAAGAACATAAAGGCTCATCTGGCATTTGCCAAAAAAATATCTGGATGAGCCCCAAGACCTTTGGGATAACATCCTGTGAACTGAGGAGTCAAAGGTGGAACTTTTTGGAAGACATGGGTAACGTTACGTCTGGTGTAAAGCTAATACTGCATTGCACAAGAAGAGTGTTGTACCAGCAGTGAAATATGGTGGTGGTAGTGGATGGTTTGGGGCTGCTTTGCCTCTAGAGGATCTGGACGACTTGTCATAACTGATGGAGCCATGGATTGTGCTCTCTATCAGAAAATCCTCCTGGAGAATATCCACCCATCAGTTCATGACCTTAAGCTCAACACAAATGTGTTCTGCAGCGTGACAATGATCAAAAGCACACAAGTCCCCCTCTGAATGGCTCAAAAAGAGCAAAATTAAGGTCTTGGAGTGGCCGAGTCAAAGTCAGGACTAGAATCTAATTGAGATGCTGTGGCAAGACCTTAAAAGGGCAGTTCGTGCCATAGACTGTATAAAAGATGGACGTAGCTACCGTGACATCACCTGTTGGTTTCTGCATGGAGAAAATGAAGCCAGGGTTTTGCTACTTCCTGGTTGACATCTTGTCTTTGCCAGTGACGCAAAAATCGTCGGAGGGGGGCGGAGCCATAGGAGCAGCAATTGGTCAGACGGATTGCACGCCCACATTTACCGCCTTCTGCTCGCTTTGTCTGCATCGTCACTGCTGACTGCCAATCAAGCCGGCCACACCCCTTGCTCCACAAAATTTTGACGATTTTTTAAAAAGTCAGTATTGATTTATTTTCAGATTGGCCACCTGATCTCTGGATTTGACTATGAAAACTAATAAGAAAAAAATCCTGAGCTGTAGGAATGCAGTATTTCATGATCTGTGATCACTTCTTTTCCAATTCAAGTCCATGGGAGCCAGGGCTTTTTGGAGCCAGAAACTAGCGGACATAGTGATATTGCAGGTTTTTGACACATCCGGGTTGGCTTCATTTTTCAGGGCCGGTTGCTCCGTCCATCTTTTATACAGTCTATGGTTCATGCTCAAAAATCATCTAATGTGAACAAATTAGAACTAGTCTGGAGAGAGGAGTGGACCAACATTCCTCCACGGTGATGTAAAAGACTGACCACAAGCTATCTAAAGTTTAAATGCAGTTGTTGCTGCCATGTGTAGCCCAGCCAGTTACTAGGTTTTGGTGGGTTTTCAATGAATTTTTAATGAATCATCATTTAAAAATGCATTTTGTGTTTTGTGAGAAATATGCAAAAATAGAAGATATCATGAAGGGGGCAAATACTTGGTTGCAACACCTGTTTTAAAAGTAATTCAGGAAAAATATTTTAAAATGTTTGTTGAAACTATTTTTTTTTCTTAGATATCAATGAGTTGAAGGTGTTTGTTGACATCGCTTCCATCTCTGCGGGAGAGAATGACATGGATGTGGATCGTGTCGCTTGCTTCCATGACGCTGTCCTCGGCTACTCTTCAGTGCTTTATGAGCTCAAGCCAGACTCTGGTTTTCATGCCTTTAAAGAAGTGCTGAAGAAGCTGTGGAAAGCTTTGGAGAATGACAGCAACCTGCCAAAAAAACTAGTAAGAGGACACTGTCGAGCAATACTAATGAGCACATCAGTAGGATTGCCACAAACTGAACATAGTTCATCGTTTGATCTAAAGTTAATGTGCAAGATAATAGTGTTAGTGTTGCTAAGTAATTAGTTGAGGCCACTGTAATTTGATAGTTTTGTGCTTGTATTTGTATATAATGTATTAGTACATTATTTAAATAGGGAAGATTCTAGATGTTGAGGTTATTTAACTGTCATTTACACACTTTACTACTGTCTTGTTAATTATGATGTTATGGGATGTACCTCAGAAATACACTGATAACAGAACTGACAGTAAATGAACTACAGGTATTCTTTTGGATGTTAGTGTCATGCTGTATCCTACCTTAAGCTTGTTAAATAGAAAAATTGGTATTACACTGAACACTTACAAAAGACAATCTGCTCTTGTAGAAGGACAGTGCACGTCACTTGGAGTGGTTGAGGACTGTGAAGGACAGTCACGGGTCAGTGGAGCTGTCATCTCTTTCGTTAGCATCAGCCATCAACAACAAAGGAATCTACCTGATCAGCGCACAAGGTGTAAAAAAGGTAAATAACACAGTTTAAGATAATTGCATCCCTATGCCAGTGCAGCACAAAGGTTATCTCTTCAAAATGACGCATGACAACGTATTTGTGTTTTTCGATCTAGCTGTGTCTTGACACAGCCCTGAAGCTGCAAATTCCAGAGGAGCACGATGAGGGCCATCACATGCGCTGCTATTCTCTTGAGGACCTGAGGGAACTGCAGAACAAACTGATGCTCATGTCTGGGAAAGGGGAACAAGGGCAGAACGAAGTCGATCAGTTTGCAGAGGTATATTGAAATGTTTCCCTTTTTGTATACCATGGATTCAGACCCATTTTTAAAAAAAGACCTCAGGTCAGGATTTGAACCCAGGGCGTTCAAACTGTGTGGCGACTGTCAGCCACTGCGCAACTGTGCCACCCCAGATGCATGCCATTTGTTTTAATTTGTCCTTGAAATTTTCCTTGTTTTATGTGTCTAAATTCACTGGGCATAGTCTAGAACTTCCAACACTTCACACCACATGTGAAAGGAAAAACTTGGCCATGGAGCAATAAAATTAGCCAAGGTATAGATTAGGGTTAGGATATACAACAATTTTCAGTTTTGAGTGTTCTTAAAAGCACAATGGCTTTAAAAAAAAGAAAAGAAAATAAGGGGAGTGAAATAGGTTTATGCTACCAGAACCAGAAGTAACAAAGCAAGAAGGTCTTTGGTCAGGGAGGTGACCAAGAACCCATGTGGAATGTGGAGAGAGACATGGACTAAATGTTCGTCTGAGTAAATGTCAGCATGAGAAGTTAATGTTTTAATCAAGCTTAAATGGAAGAGATTATTTTGCTGCACATAACCATGTGCACATTATTCAATCAGCTTTAATACGTCAATGTCTGATAGCTAAACAAAACTTAATTAAGAAGTTGCAATGTCGTATCTCTTTAATGTATTTGAAAATGAATTAATGGTTGTGAATGAATTGTCAATTACCTGTTTTGGATCTTTGAATTATTTTCTACCCTGTATAAAACAGTTGCATCTGACCGTTGGTTTGTTTCTTTCTTTATAGGTTTTTGCCAGTGTTCAAAGACTAGCTGAGGCATTCATTGCTCTTTACACAGCGGGGAATCCTCTGTTCAGACACTGGGAGGTGCAAATCCACTGCCGTTTAAATAGCGAAGAACCTAGCATTCTGATGGACTTCAACCTGGGAACTGTTCTCAGTCTCATTGTGGAGGGCAGCATAGAGGAGCAACTTCCTGAACTGTGCAGAAAAATGGAAAAATGTCTGGACTATTGGATGGATTTTGTAGATAAACAGAGATCCCAACACTACTATCTGAACTATTACACTGCTGAACAAATAGTCTACCTATGCAGCAAGCTGACTCAGCAAAATGTGACCAATGTTGATGACCAAGTTCTCATGATGCTGTCCTTCATCAAGCCAAATTGCACATCCTCTGATCTGAGGCAAGTCTGGCATGCACTTCAGTATGAAATCCTCATCAAACCACAAGAACAAAATGAGGACATTGAGTTTCAGACTTTTGCTGTCATGCCAAGTAGTGAACTGGGGGACCCAGACTTTACCAGCGAATTGGATCCTCTGTCAAGTCTTGTGGAACAAGCAAATGGTTTGCAAAAGTTTGATCGGATATGGAATGCATATATGAAGGACATGAAGAAATTTCTCCCACACATTCTTGATATAAAAAGTCTTGGAAGTCTCTTGGAAAAACTCGCCAACAAAGTTGATGAGAGCGAAGAACATGACAGTGACGAAGATATTTCTGATGATAGCACTGGAAATTTCATAAAGCGGCAGCTACCCAAAGGTCTGGCCTCTGGAAACCCAAACCTCATAGTTTGCCCACATGATGAAGTCTTGACATCTTGCATCTCCATTTACATGAATAGTGATGACCAGACACTTCCCACCTATGATGAAGTTCTCCTGTGCAACTCCTCAACACCATACGAGCAGGTAGAGCTATTCCTCAGACGCTGCCTTAGCCCAGGCTATGGGGGACAGAAGATATACTCTCTGCTGTATGGCGATCTTCTCACTTATGATGTGAGCTCCAAAGTTGAGAACTTTTTTCAGCGAATGAAAATGCAGAGTATTAAAGACTACAGACTTGTCATCATTTGCAGCTCAGAGCGAGAACACGCCTACCTTCCGTCAGCCTTTAGCCAGTACAGATTGCACATGGTTCCCCAGGAGCCACTGGTAAGGATCCAGACATACCTCCACAAACACTATGCCGTCCCAGCAGATCAGTGCAGCGCCGCAGCTGCATTTAAAGACAGGCTCTGCGTTGGTGTCATCTCATCCAAAAGGGCTGGTGTTGGTATGTATATAAAGGATTTCATATTGGTAAATTTTTGCTAATTGGGAAGGATACGTGCCATAATGAGCTAATGTAATTGCAGGTAAATCTCTCTACATCAAGAGGTTGTATGAAAAACTGACGCACTCAACCAAGAAGCAATCAGTGATGAAATGCATTCGATTGATTGAACCAAACGTTGATGAGAATGTCATTCTTCAATCTCTGTTGGAAACCCCAAGAAGGAAAGAACTCGCAATGTTCCACTTTGACATCACATCATCGGTAATGAGTCTCAAGTTAATTCTTAGTTTGTGTAACATAACCTTTTTAATTGTACATGTCTTGAAAGCTTACATATACTGTTACTGAACTGCATTTTATTTTCAAACAGGTGCAGAAAGGTCTCCACGAGTTCCTTTTCAAATTGTTGATTTTGCGCTATCTGATGGACTCTGAGGGAAAGATGTGGAAGTGCAATGACAAGCAGCTGTATGTCATTGAGATTTTAGAGTCCACTGTCAAGTTAGCAAGAAATGCTTCACGACAGGTAACAGTTTTTACAAGCGCTTGACGCAAATACGTACCATTCGTCATCTGATTTTAAGCTGTTGCTTATGTTAGATTGTGCTTTCGTGTCTGTTTTCTGCACAGGCTCAAACAGTGAACAGCACATTCACAGATGTTTTCCCACATATCTTCTGCCGACCACCCAAAGAGGTTCTGATGCTAGAGATGAGGAGGCAAGAAGACCCTACTATTGTGAGCAGTGATGACCCACTGATGGATGATGAAGAATTCAGGAGCGAAGCCTTTCAGCGGCCATACCAGTACCTCACACGGTTTCATAACCACAGTAATCTAGACGTGTTCACGTATCAGGATGTTGAGGGGTCGCACGTAGAGTGTCTGCAGATGCTTCTCATGCACTGTGGCATCATGGACCCATCGTGGGCAGAACTGAGAAATTTTGCATGGTTCCTTAACCTTCAGCTTAAAGACTGTGAGACATCTGTTTTTTGTGATGCTACTTTCACTGGAGACACACTAAGTGGATTTAAAACCTTTGTGGTGGACTTCATGATTCTGATGGCAAAAGACTTTGCTTCTCCATCACTCAGCATCTCTGACCAGAGTCCTGGCAGGCTGCAATTCGATCTCACTGGTGTCCGAGATGAAGACTTGGCTCCTTTTCTCATCAGAAAAAGATGGGAAACAGAACCACATCCATACATCTTCTTTAATGATGACCATGTGTCCATGACCTTTATTGGTTTTCATCTCCAGCCCAATGAGCAGAACTCTGTTGATGCCATTGAGCCCACCTCTGGAAGAGTTATAAAGAAGAATGTTATGACAAAGGCATTGTACGAAGGCCTAAAGCTACAGAGAGTCCCTTTCAACATTGACTTTGATTGCCTTCCAAGATCGGAGAAAATCGAGCGAATCTGCAATGTTCTTGGTATCCAGTGGCCTCTTGACCCTGATGAAACATATGAACTTACAACTGACAACATTTTGAAAATGCTGGCAATCCACATGCGATTCAGGTGTGGCATCCCTGTCATTATCATGGGAGAGACAGGTTGTGGTAAGACAAGACTCATCAAATTCCTCTGTGAATTGCGACGGAGTGGAGTGTCCACTGAGAACATGAAACTGGTCAAGGTGCATGGAGGAACAACTTCAGAGATGATCTACAGCAAAGTTAGTGAAGCAGAAGACATTGCTTCCATCAACAAGCAAGACTATGGATTTGACTCAGTTCTCTTCTTTGATGAGGCCAACACTACTGAGGCCATCAGCAGTATTAAGGAGGTCCTGTGCGACAAGACGGTCAAGGGAGAAAAGCTGTCATCCACCTGTGGATTGCAGATTATTGCTGCGTGCAACCCTTACCGAAAGCACACAGATGAAATGATTCGGAGGTTAGAATCTGCAGGTCTTGGGTACAGAGTTGGAGCTGAAGAGACTGATGAAAAGCTCGGATCTATCCCTCTCCGCCAGTTAGTGTATAGAGTTCAAGCATTGCCACCAAGCATGATTCCTTTGGTGTGGGACTTTGGACAGTTAAATGACCACACAGAGAAAATATACATCCAACAGATTGTGCAAAGAGTGGTTGAAAGCAAAGAACTTGATCGAAGTTACATCAAGTGGATCACTGATGTCCTTTCAGCTTCACAGAAGTACATGCGGACAAGAAAGGATGAATGCAGCTTTGTTAGCCTGAGAGATGTAGAACGCTGCATGCAGGCTTTTGTTTGGTTTTTTGACAACCACGTCATGTTTTTTGCAGAACTGGAAGAATTTGAGAGTAGTCAAAATGCTGAGAAGCAAGAAAGGCATCAGAGACAGCCTGAGGTCAGAGACCCTGTTCTATGGTCTCTGGTCATGGCTGTAGGAGTGTGCTACCACGCCTGCCTTGAAAATAAGGATAAATACAGACAAAAAATCAGCAAAAGCCTGCCACCAGCATACAGCCCAGTAAAGGTAATGCAGGAAATCTCACTAATGCAAGATTTGCTTCTGAGTGGTGTGCCAATGGGCGATACCATTGCAAGAAACAGTGCCCTCAAGGAGAACGTGTTCATGATGGTCCTCTGCATTGAGTTAAGAATCCCTCTGTTCCTAGTTGGAAAACCTGGAAGTTCAAAATCACTGTCTAAGACTCTGGTGGCAGACGCAATGCAAGGCCAAGCTGCTCATTCTGACCTCTTCAAAATGCTCAAACAGGTCCATTTGGTGTCCTTCCAGTGCAGTCCTCACTCAACGCCAGAGGGCATCATTAATACATTCAAGCAATGCGGACGCTTTCAGGAGGGGAAAAACCTGGATGAGTACATTTCAGTTGTGGTTCTAGACGAGATTGGACTGGCTGAGGACTCTCCAAAGATGCCACTGAAAACCCTTCATCCATTGCTAGAGGAGGGCTGCATTGATGATGAACCACTACCGCACAAAAAGGTTGGATTCATTGGCATCTCCAACTGGGCACTAGACCCTGCGAAGATGAACAGAGGCATTTTTGTCTCCCGTGGTGACCCTGACGAGAAGGAGCTCATTGAGAGTGCTAAAGGCATATGCTCATCTGATGCAATGGTTTTGGAGAAAGTCAGGGATTTTTTCCAACCCTTTGCAAGAGCCTATTTGAACATCTGCCGCAAACAAGGCAAAGGGTTTTTTGGCTTGCGTGACTATTACAGCTTGATTAAGATGATCTTCGCAATGGCCAAAGCTTCTCAACGGAAGCCAACTGCAGAGGAGACCGTGAAGGCAGTGTTGAGAAATTTCAGTGGCAGGGATGATGTAGATGCAGTTAGTGTCTTCACTAAAAGACTGATGATGGTACCAAACCTGGAGAACATCAGTGCCATTGAGTTTGTGAGAGAAAACATTCAGGCGGTTGGACAGGAAGAAGAATGTCGGTACCTGCTGGTGCTAACAAAAAACTATGCAGCCCTACAGATCTTGCAGCAAACCTTCTTTTCAGAAAGTGGTCAACCAGAGATAATCTTCGGATCCAGCTTCCCAAAAGACCAAGAGTATACCCAAATCTGTCGCAACATAAACAGAGTAAAGATATGCATGGAGACAGGTCAAACAGTTGTGCTCCTAAACTTGCAGAACCTCTATGAAAGTCTCTATGATGCCCTCAACCAATACTACGTATGCTTGGGAGGGCAGAAATATGTGGATCTTGGACTGGGAACCCATCGTGTCAAATGCAGGGTGCACAAAGACTTCAGGCTGATTGTCATTGAGGAAAGAGAGGTGGTCTACAAACAGTTCCCAATACCTCTAATCAACCGGCTGGAGAAACACTACCTGGACATTCACACTGTCCTCAAAACTGAGCAGAAGAGGATGGTGAAGGAACTGGAGAGATGGGTTGCACTTTTTGTATCCATGAGCACTCAGCATTCAGCAGTGGCCCAGACATACAAATATCAACCCCCAGATGTCTTCATTGGTTACCACTCAGACACATGTGCCTCTGTGGTTCTTCAAGCAATAGAGAGGCAGAAAGACAGTTTGGAAACCACAGATTCTGACAGGAGGATGCTCGATGAGGCAAAACTCATATTGCTCAAGTGTGCAACGCCAGACTCAGTGGTGCGGTTGGACTGCACAGGACTTCCAAAAGTGGAAAGTGAACATCTGGGGAGGGTCTACTTTGAAGAGCAGAATAACAACGGTTTGGTGGACTACATACTTGCTCATACAAGGCAAGAAGTCCATTGCGTCTCCTTCTTCACAGAGGTAAAACTATAGCTGGCATGCCAAGTTTACATATACCCTTGTAGTCGCAAGTGCTTTTAAGGTCTAATTGTAATTTCAAACCATAGGTGTCAACATTCTCCAGACTTTTGACTGCATCTGACTTGGAGCCACTGGAGCAAATGTTGCATAGCATTGAGCTTCTCTCACTCCAGCAGTTTGACACAGAGCACTCCTTCCTGAAGAAGATCAGGTTTGTTGATATACTGTCCAATATATAATTTTACACTTCATAATGATTATGACCACCTGACCTGAAACAGGCTATGTAAACAACAGTAGGTTTTTTTTGTATACTAAACATGTCATAAACAGATGAGACACAGCTAAATCAACAATTTATGTTCAGAAAAAGCATTTAATTTTGTTGTAGGCAAGAATTTACTTAACTGACTATGATCTTATGTTATGATTTGAGTCTAAAGTTTAAATCACTGTTTTCTTGTAGAAACTTCCTCACAGCAGAGCGTGGAAGCAGTACTGCTGGACCATGCAACAAGATCCTTATCATTCAGTGTGATTTTGATGAGGGCTCTCATAGTGCCAATCTCATTGCATCTGCAAAGTAGGTCTAACATTTCCATTCTGCGGGGTTTTCACCTCTGTGAGGTTTTGCCATATTGACTTTTGCCGTTTATTTGTTTATTTTCAGGTATTCGTCAATAAACGAAATCAACAAGATAACTCAGGAGAGCATGGGAAGCAAAGTGTTTGTCTACTTTATCACCAGGCTGCCAAGAATGGAAGGTGGAACTTCCTACATTGGTTTTCATGGAGGTATTGTTACGACAACTTGTAAATGTAATTTATTTATTTATTTTTTTAATCATATTGTTTAAAGAATAAAGGATAATCTGAAACATGCTAATATTCACAGGGCCGTGGAGATCCGTTCACATTGATGACCTCAGACGGTCAAAAGACATTGTTTCAGACATCAAAAGCTTGCAAAACATGACCATCAGTCAGATGTTTGAAACAAAGAGGGATCAGGCTGAAGGTAACTAAATAAATTATAAAAATTTTGATTAGATTATATTTTCCTCTATATGGATTTTCTTTGTCTTGAACTCTCTTGGTGCATTAAATCACAAAACTCTTCACAGCTATGGAGGTGGATGACATGTACACTGACAATGACTTGGAGAAACCAGAGTTCGAAGAAAATGTAAGTATAGGCAAAATGTATTTCACATATGTTGTATTGTGGGGAAATAACTTAAAATATATTGTTTTCTGCATTAAACTGAAAATCTACATTTACATTACATTAACATCCTTAAAAAAAAATGTGTTAGCTTTCGCTGTCTGCACACTGTTGTCTTACAAAAATGTTATATTTTAATCTGAGTTATTTCAGACACTTGATTTTAATCTGTGTGTCCTCCATCTGCAGGGCTTGGAAAATGTTGTGGACACCACAGCACTGCTGCGGAGCTGTGTGCAGAATGCTGTAAGCATGCTGAGAGATCAGGTGGAAAGTGGTGTCCGCAGCACTCAGAGAGTTGAGATCCTTCTGACGCTTCTGACTGACAATGATGAGATAGCTGGTATGAATACAAATGTATTAATGTGCATTTTTTCGTCACAGTAGTTTTGCAATACTGATCATTCAGTGTAACTGTGGCCAGGTGAATTTCTACAAATTGTGAAGAAGCATCTTCACTCGTTGATGGTGACTCAAGAAAGCAACACCATCTCATCCATCAAGAGCAACTGGGTCCTAAAGGAGGCCTCAAACATTGATGCTTTGCAAGAGGGAGGTACCTTCAGGTAAGTGCTTCAATGTCTGCTTCCTGTTCTCCTGTGTATTCCTATTTTTTTTGTGGAAAGTACTTTTAACTCTGTTTGGGTTCATCACAGGCACACTTTATGGAAGCGTGTTCAGGCAGTGGTTGTCCCCCTGTTGGCACATCTAGTTGCAGTCATTGACCGTGACCAAAACCTGGACCTCCTGCTTGATAGACACTGTGGTGACTCTGTTAAGAGGCTGTGGTTGGATATCTTTGGCAATGATAAGCTGCTGGAAATCTCACGCCTGACACTTGACCACAAGTAAGTGATACTGCACTTTGCTTTACTGATACCAATTCCTGTTGCTAATAATGTTTCCCAAACCGTTCACTTTGCGTATTTAAACTTTTCACAGCTCTGAGACTAGAACAATCCTTGTGCAGAGCTCCATTGCCCAAGACAGGAACATGAGCTGCAGCATGCCCTTCAGCTGGAGGATTAAGGACTACCTGGAGGAACTCTGGGTTTATGCACGTCAACATGAAGGTAGCACCCTCAAATATTATAAAAGAATCTCTACGCATTGCACATTTTTGGTATTACATTAAATTTGCATGTCTGTTAGGGCACACACAACAAAACTTAGATGACTTCTTTGGGAAGACCCCACTGGGACGCTACATCGCAAAATCAGATGCAGACATGCAGGCAGAGTTTTTTCATCGCTACCTCCAGGATTTCGTCTCTATGACAATGAACGTCACTTGCCAGGAGGATCTGCAGGTTGTTTTTCTGCAACACTTAAAGCCCTTAAATTTGATGGTACAGCTGTCTGATGGTGTGTGCCTGTGTGAACACACAAACTGATTGACATTGTCTGATTTTCTAGCTCTTGTGTGGTGCTTTGAATTGCTGTGTCAGCGAGATGCGATTGCAGCTAAATCACACAGAAACAGTGGTATCTCTTCCATGGGTCCACGCTGCTTATCATGAGTTCAAGAACCGGCTGCAGAACCTGTCCAGAATGATCTGCATTGAACCCCAGGTCACTCAGGACCTCCTGGGAAATACTCAAGCCAGAGATGGGGTTGAACTGGTGAGCCTCAGTTAACAAGTGCATTTATATTTTCTCTGTTTTGTTCAATATTTCTGTATTTGTAATGCATGATACTGACTTTCAAACTGATTTATGAGTTGGTAATAGTAAATAAAAGTTGTCCTAGTAGTAGCCTGTAATACGTAGTGCTCATATACCCCTGTCTGCAAGGTGCTCGATGTGTATGCTGCCTTTGCATGTCTGGAATACCTGGAGCCCAAAGTCCTGGACACAGATGCCCAAAGACAAGCCTGGCTTAGACGGGTGAAGAAACTCCAGGTTCCAATTGAGTTGATCTGCTCAGAGGAAAGTGTGAGACATTATGGACAGAGAAGCGGGATGTTTGTCAGTAGAGTCCAGTAAGTCAAGCTTCATCAAAAATATTCAGATGGTTTTTGGTTTGTCTTTAGATAACTACAGTACTTGAGCTGTATTGGGATGGATAGTCATTTGTTGTGTGTCTGTGTTTTTAGAGCTGGGTGGAATCGAGTATTTTCTCTTTCTCTGTTCGTGGAACACATGCTGTTGGGAATTGAGGATCTGGAGAAAAAGCTGGCACCTTTAGTTTCTGAGAATACACGAAGGCTTGGCCAGGTTGGTTCTTTGTATTGACCAAAATTTGATATCATAGATAGATACCATATCATACTATGCCTCCACAACAACCACAATATTTCCTCCGTCTGTAACAGAATGTATTTCCTCTGCTCTCCCATCTAGATACTGGAAAAAAATTCAGACCTAAAAACTCAGCAGACATTTGAGGCAGTAATAGGTTTGCTCAAAACCTGCAAAGATGGAGCCGTCGAACGCATCTTCAGGTAGAGATTCATCTTTATAGCTGCTGCATTTTATCTGCATTTCTCCTAGAGTGCTTTGGAGCAGGTTCTTTGTATGTTTGACAGTATTTCCCTAAAGTAGTTCCTCAAAGCAATGGCCTTAGATGGTTTGTGTTCAGCTTAGAAAGGTCTTATGAAGCTTTACATTTCATTTGGTTAATAATGCAGAATCCATTAAATTGTTATGGGACGCCTGCGTTTTTAATTATTTGTTTTTATCTAGGTTTGGTCTCACTCTCTGCCCAGTGTGCATGGGACACCCTCACGATCCACTCTGTCTGCCGTGTGATCACATCTACTGTGTAGACTGTATCAAACAGTGGCTGATCCCTGGTCAGATGTACTGTCCCCTCTGCATGCAGCCAGTTGACGAAGACTTCCGCATGGTTCCTACAGATGAAATAAGGTTGGTAACTGCATGTGAATTAGAGTGTAATCAGCTGATTTTATTTGGTTTTGTTTCTCATGAAAAGCAGAGATACAATGCAGTTCTTTTCCAAACACAAAATATTGTGATGCTCTCTGTGCTTATCTTATTTCCATTGAATCTAGACCATCATGCTCTACCACTCTGGCTTCTGACTCATTTTTAACAAACATCTGTGTAACTTTGTTTTGTGTAGGATTCTGATCAACCAACATGCTCAGTTCAGGAAGCAGTGCAATGCTTTCTTCATCGACCTGGTGTCTACTGTGTGCTTCAAGGACAACGCTCCACCTGATTCAGCTGTCATTCTTCATTTGCTGTCCTTGCTGATGGTGGAGGCAAACACTATTCCCTTTCTCAAAGGTACTTCTTGACTCCCTCACTTGTGTAACAGCACACATCCATGTCTCTGTGTAGAGGTACTGCATGTTTTGTCAGCTCTAAATGTTTTATTTGGTGAAATGTTTTGCCAGATAAGCGACAAATCCTGACCAAGGTGCTTTCTCCGTTTGATGACTCTGTGGATAAAAATCCAGTGGTTCGATCAGTGGTGCTCAAACTCCTGCTGAAGTATAGGTGAGCTGCCATGTTTCACATTGCATAAGGCTTAAGGAATGTATGTTCCCAATATTTGCAGCGGTGTTTTTCATTTTTGCTCAATTTGCACTTTTTAAAGCTTTGATGAAGTTAAAGATTACCTGCAGCAGCATCTGATGGCAGTTGAGCAGAGCAACATCTTGGAGGAGACAGACAAGACTGAACTCTACTGCTTGTACATTAACTGCCTGGAGGTGCGCATGAATTTAAATCCACAAGTGGATTGCATTATATTATATTGTGATACAGTTTGTTTTTGTTTTTTATGTTCGTTAGTGTTAACCTTTTCATTTCTTTAGGATTCCATGTTTGAGAGGTTGCAGTTCAGGTCCCCTGCAGATCAGCATGCATGTTTACAGGATGAGAGTGCCTTCCTAACTGACTTCCTGCACAGTCAGTCTGCTGAAACAGCCACTGTGGAGTACCTGCAGCAGGTGGCTAGAGTGCGTATGGACCTGGATATGACTGCAGGCCTCATTGTAGAGAAACTGAGAGCCACAGGTGTGTCTTTTTACTGGAGTGTCAACACATTTAGAACTTGTATCCCACTCGGAATGTGTTCATTTTATGAAAAAAAATTAAATAAAATCATCCGTCTTTCTCTTTTTAATGTTAAACCAGGCTCCCAGGAAGGTGATCAAAGTGGAACCGCAGCCTTCCTGACCAGTATGGTGAACTTGTGTAGGCGGAGTGGGAACGACTGGTATCGCATCTATTTGATCCGAAAGATCTGCAGCCAGCATGGAGTAGAGTTTGTCCTGAAGCTCCTCAAAGTGGATCAAATGTCTTGGCTCTTCCCTGCAGAAGTTCTGCTAAAGGTTTAGTCATTTACAGTGTGATTTTCAGTGCTAATGGCCAAGTAAAGGCAAGGCTGTAATTTAAAAGTCATGCTGGCAGTGATTGAAATATATGGTTCAATCTTTTCTGCAATCAGAATGAAGAAGCCACCCCAATAGACCAGTATCTGGTGTGTGGAGAAGATTACAAGACGATCAGAGATGCTGTTGCAAAAGGAGTAATGGAAGGCAAAGTGGATGGACTGGACCAGGCTTGTGAGGTACTGTAACATCACTCTGTTGTTGGAAACTCAGTATCAGGACAGAACTACATTTGAATCTATATTTAAATGACTACATTGTGCTTCTTGTGGTTTTTCTTCACAGGCTTGCAGATGCCTACCACAGTGGAAAACCGTTTACCTTCTGCTGGCGCTGTACAGAGAGGTCACCACTCTCTACAGAGAAACCAACGCTAGCTTCCATCCTAAGCCTGAGGTAGGTCCCCAAATGAAGATCGAATGAGCTGCCTTTATATAGAATCAGCTTACATATGACAAATATTGTCTTATTTGTTTACAAAAATTTGAACCTGTGTGTGCAAATGACCACAAGAAAACTGCTTCGATTTATCTGTTAACTATGTTGTGGTTTGAACCAACTGAACAAACTGTACATTGCACGTGTTGTCCTAAAAACAAAAAGGCAGATGAGCTGCGCAGGCTCACATCGGCATTGTATATGTTAAATTTATATGAAGTGGCTTGATTTTTACACTATCAAGTAGTTTTGATTTACCCCATTGGTAGATTTCCATACTTCATAGAATATTTGGTGTTGTTTCTAAGACAGGAGTTTTTCCATTGTGCTGTCTGACAATCTGCAGTTACCTGTGCTCAGAAATCTCAACAATGGAATCAACTAAGGAAATCTGTAGTTTAAACTCGTCTTTAGGTCACTTAGCCACTTTTTTCATATGTTTTGAACTTGTATCACCACAAGAAAATGTTAATTACTGCTGTTTTACCACATCCACATACTTTTGTAAAGGTAATGAAACTGAAATATATTTATGTATTTTTTTTTTTTGCAAACTATTCATATGAAAAGATGTTTGTGGGTCATCTAACTTCTTTTCAAATCATGTTTGTCAATTTGTTTCCATGTGGTATTTCCATTTTTTTTATGTATCTTTGTACTAACAGCAATTAGAAGTCCTGGTGACTTACATCCAGACATCCAAACTCCTTACCAGCCCAGAGGTTAAAGCCTTTGCCCAGGCTCTGGTGACCAACCAACTTGGACCGCTGGCTGTTCGTCCCGGGGTCTCTGGTGCACAGTGTGTGTCAGTGGAATTAACCATTCACTTGGCGGTTGTCTTGCTCTGTGGAAACCAGGGGATCTTAGCACCCCTGCAGCAGCTAGCATTGGCACCTGCCAACATGCAGGTATGTATAATAGCTGTAGACGGTGATAACAAATGTGCCTCCTCTTTCTTTGAAGTGAATTGACTGGTTTTGTTTGCTGGTACAGGCAGCTTTCTTGCCCACCATGCCAGAGGACATGTTAGCAGTGGCTCAACAAGCTATGGGTCCATTGCAGTGGTACTGTAAGTATTAACACAAGCAATCATACTCTCATGTATGAAATATGTCAGTTGGAGATGTTATGCAGCCTCACTAAACAATGCCATGGTCTTTTTTTTTTTAAATTTACTTTTGCTGCAGATTGTCCAAATGGTCACCCCTGCACCATTGGCGAGGTATGTCATGTTCAGTCTGAAGTAGGTTTGTAGTGAGATTTTTTAGCACTTATTATACATTTTGACTTTCTTGCTTCCCATCTCTGTTTCTCTAGTGTGGACAGCCTATGCAAATAAGTCACTGTGTAGACTGCAATGCTGAGATTGGAGGAAACAACCATTTGCCTGTGCAGGGATTTAGGCCTGCTCAGTTGCAGTAAGTGTTCTACAAAATTCAGTAGAAAAATGTATTGCAAATGACAATAATTCATTTTGGTTTAATTAGTTTATATTTTCTTTTTATTCATATTTATTTATTCATTGTCTCTTACAGGGGTGACCGCACTCAGAGAGGCCACATCCTTGGTGACCCCAGTCGCAGGGACAATCCAGACATGCTGGACACAAAAAGCATTTCCCCCGTTCCCTTCTCCATTGTCCGCATGCTCACTCACATGGCCATGCTGCTCGGAGCCTCGAGCAACCCACAGGTAGCTTAGGTGTTACTTTTTACAACCACAATTGTTCCACATAATATATATGAGTTTCTTTATTACACATCCCATTACCCTGGTAATATAGCACCGTTGATATTGTGCTGTTCTGGCCACTCATCCCCTGTTTTTGTGTTTCCAGCCTGTCTCTGCGCTCATCAAGCCTCCGGTCCCAGACACAGGAGCATTTCTACTTGCACACCTGAGGAAGGACATGAAGCATCTCATCAGATCTCTGGGGAAGGGGACAGATGACACAGTCAGTGCTGTTCACCTGCTAATCAACAGCCTCCTTGAACCCCACCAGCAACAAACATGTAGGGAACAACAAACTTATTCTACAGCACTTCAAAACCAGTGGAAAACTATTATGTCCTGTGTGCATATTTGAAGAGAACAAAGTTATCTGGATCTGATTGCAGTCTACATATGTGATGCAGTTATTTTTTTATTGCTGTTTAGTTGCTTTTCAACCTTTATCCTCCTTCACGGTACATTTTATGCTGTCTTCACTGTAACCAGCAGCAGAATTACACAAGAAGAATAGGTGACCTCTAGTGGTCAGAGATCTCATAATGTCTTCTCACAGTTCATGTGTAACAGGGATTTTATGAAAGTGATAAGTTGTATGGTGTCATTTTAAGTCAACACTCAGATTGTTTAAGGGTATTTTATGATTATCCTGCATTTCTAGCATTTTAAATGAACTTGTGAAGATATGGTCATTTGATTGCTCTAGTAAAGCAGCTGTAAATTGTGTGAAATGCTAGATTCATTAGATTCCACTGTTAAACACACTGGTTCTCCTTTCAGGGCCTGCTCCTTATGACAATCTGCTCTCCACCAAAGAAGCTAGAAACGGATGGGAGGTGGAAGTGAGCAATGCCATCATCACACCTCAGCTGAAGGTAGCAATACTTTAGCTCTGTATGTGTTGTAACAGGGAACAAATAATGCACATAGTCTAATTTCAGAAGCATAATTCGGCCTCACGTGTGTGTGTGAGATGCATACTTAATAGGTTGTTTTTTTTTTTTCTTCTACAGCACTTGGATAGACGGCTAAAGGAAGTGAACACATTCGTCCGGGGTGACTCTCGCATCTCTGCCAATCCAATCATGAAGCTTATGTTTGGCGATCCTCGTCTCTTTTTGGCCTCACTTCCCCCAAATTCTCTCATCCATGGTTGTGCTGTGTGGAGCTGCAGGGAGAAAGTGTCTCTGCTGAGCCTCACCCACATTGTGGAGCAAAATGATGGCAAAGACACCCTGCCAGTGCTCTGGAGGTTTCTGCATAGGGTAAGAAAACAGGCCCTGAACATGCAATTTCTCATTTAAAGTTTACAAAAGAACCCTCTTTCCTACTTATGGCAGGTTTTTAACAGTTACTACCAATATAATGTGGCATGTTATGGTCCATTTGTCCACTAAGTACCTTGGGTTCTTTCTATTAACCGTCTGAACCCTGAATCCCACTGACGGTTTAAAAGGCATGCAGTTTTAAATAAAGAAAAGCATGGCCAAACTGACCCTGTTTAGTTCAGAGCTAGAAACGACACAGGAATAACTGACGGATTTTTAACTTTCCAAGTGTTCTTAAACCAATGGGGTGCGGTTTTCATTTCATTGGGGAAATTAAACAAATCTGAACATCATAACATTTGATCAAAATCCTTTTATTCTACATGTCTCATTTAAGTATTTACCACAAATGCACTTTAAGCAATAGCCAGATTCTGTAAAAAAAAAAAGAAAGAAAAAAACACTAAAAACTCTGCTCTTTTCAGCGCAACTGAGAAGCCATTTGTGATTCAGCTGTGACAATCATGTCACACAAATTCAGGGACTTTTTGGCTGTACTGAGATGAGTAGCAGACTGTGTATAGAGCAGACAGGACCCAAGTATGGAAACAAATTAAAAGTGGAATTAAAATATCTATTGTATGTAGAGCCACTAAGGGTACTTAGAAACATGTTGTATGTGTTGATTAGATGTTTTTTCTTTTTGTTTTTCAATTTTTGTAAAAATAAATATTTAAAGATTATTGAAGACAAGTTTTTTTTCCCCCCTTCTTTTTATAACTTATGACAGAACTGTGTCACTGTGGACTGAAGACATTTTTGAGTCCTCTCTACTTCTGGCCATGGTTGTCCTGTTTACATAGCGGTGCAGGATTTTCCATAACAGTGAAAAATGAGCCCACAGAGTAAAAATGTGACAGGAGCAAACAAAACAGACAGGAAGACTGCTAGTAGCTTAAAGGGTTATATAGTAACCCATAGTCCTCCTTTAGGATCATACAGAACAATTTTTGTGGCTCAAAAATGTGTTGAAGTTGAATGTTTTTCATTTTGGATGCCAGAAAATCTGTAGTGAAATATTAAAAAACATTCGTAACTGATATACCAAGGTTGTCCTAGTGACACAACAACTTTCTTAATGAATTGTGATTTTTCTGATTTTCAGGTGCTTCATCCATTCATGAGGTCCATTTAAAAACGATTGTCTAAACACACTTCTACTGTTTCTTGTGTTTTCTATAAAGGAGGCAGAAGTCCGACTGGTGAAGCACCTTCCTGACATCCTCACACTCCAGCAGGATCTCGTCAAAAAGTTTCAAAACATTGCTGAGCTGACTTATGGCACCATTGCAGAATTTCTTCGCAGTCAGAAAGCAGGTATCAAATCTGTCCACACCGGCGGTTCTCAGCTTTTTCAACTGTATGACTCACAGACGCACAAGACATACAAAATTCCATGCAGCCCCTAATTACCCTTTTCTCGGAAATGTCGTAGTAAAATAGCTGGCAACAGGCAGTTTTAAGACCTGCCTGCCAAGGGTGAGTTGTTTTAACCTGGAAGGAGACAATGATTGAGTATTCCTAAAAGAGGAAAGTCTCCTTCACACGTGACACCCATTGATGTTAACACTGGTGTCTTAGTATGCTGTAGTCAGTCTGGTGTACTGCTGTTCTGGTCTGGGGTTGACATCTGTACACTTGGGATGAAATATTCTGTTTCTTTCATGTGTACAGGTTCGCTGAAAGCCTGGTATGAGAAATACATCAGGATCTTCTTGAAAACCTGGAATCAACTCAGAGTTTCGCTGGCAACCAACGGTAACTACAAACACTACATACAAGCCTGTCTTAACACTGGCCTGTTCATCTATATCTGACATGAGTTAAATGTTGTTCAGGTGAGATTAAGATCCCAGCTGAGTTCTGCCAGAAGGACCTAGACCTCACCAGTGACTTCAAGGTGCTGTTACCACGGCGACAAGGCCCAGGCCTGTGCTCTACAGCCCTTGTCAGCTACCTGATTGCACTGCACAATGACCTTGTCTACTATGTAGACAAGCACACTGGAGAGGAGACCAGGTGGGGGCGCTCATGCCACATTTTTCCTCATGTGCTCTGAGCTGTAAGAAGAAGTGTGTAAACTCCATGAATGCATACTTCACATTTCTCAAGATAATAGAAGGACTGAAAGCATTTTATTGTCAAAATAAAAGCTGGACAGAGCAATCTAGCAGCTATACCCTCATAATTCAGAGCTACTATCTCGTGGCTGACTTGTCTGTTTATTCCTCCTCCAGCTACAAAGTGAGCCCCGCAGATCTGACTGACCTCCATGTAATTCGCTATGAGCTGGAGAAGGACTTGATGCCCCTCATTCTGTCCAACACCCAGTACAGCATCGAGAGGGGCCAGGAGACCCTTCATGAGTACGACCTGCCAAAGATCCAGCAGCAGATCATCTCCCGCTTTCTGCTGGGAAAACCTCTCATCACTCTCAATGTGAGCAAATGAAAAGCAGAAGTACCGCTGCTTTGCCCCAAAATACAGTGTAAAATTGTTAAGACACAGTTTCCTTCATGTCTGTGTCTGTTTACCACAGGGCATTCCAACACTAGTGAACAGACATGACCGCAACTATGAGATTATCCTGAAGGACGTGAAAGCAAAAGTCAGTCAGGTAAGTTTGGATTTACGTGAAGTAGCTCCTGGAACTGTCATTAACTTCTCACACTTTGCAGTTATCCTCTCATGAGTGTGCATATTGTGTCTGTGTGCCACCAGGAGCCTCTTCAGACTGTCACGCTCTTTGCCGTGGCTGGAGAACTGCACTCTTACAGTGAGGTGTGTGAAGCCTTGTCCACGCTGGAAGTGGCCCTTGGTTTCCTGGCCATGACTGGGGGAGAGCCTCACATGCAACTGTCCTGCTACCTGGAGGAGGTGCTGCAGATGGGAAACCAGATGGCTCAGCATATCCTCAAGGTCAGCCTGTCTGAGGAACTCATTATTTTATCCTTGATTCCACAGAACAAGTCTGAATCGTGTGGTTACTTTTTATATATTAAAAAAATTGTCTCAAATAGCAACTTTATTTGGCCTTAAGCCCTATCATTCTGTATGTTTACTCTCAGTATTAGATTTTAATGAACATGAACTGAATCGGTTAATGTCCTGTTTATGTGTCAGACATGCTCTACAACTTGACGTTCTCCCTGTTTTGCTCACAGGCCTTGAGCATGTGTTGTCTAAAGCATTGTGTAGCGCTGTGGCAGCTGCTGACTTCACTCAAATCAGAAAATATGCTGCGGCTCAAGAGGGTAAGGCACAGCACAATGCTGGCAGTATGCAGACGACGCAAATGATATTACAGTCATTATTTAGAGAAGTAATGATTTTTGCTGGCCTAATGAATGATCCTTCCATGTGTTTCTTTGTGTTCATCAGGATCCCTTTGTGGAAGTTTCAGATAAGTACAAACAGGCCCTGGGTGAGGACGAGCACAGGTTGCTGACTGGTTTCTTCTCCAAGACCAGCGCTGACACTTTCCTGCTGGAGATGCACGAGTTCCTGGTGCTTGTCCTCAAAAAGCCCAATGCTCCTGATACATACAGGCCTGACTGGAGGTAAAACTACAATTTTATTTATTATATTCTTTGTTATTTGCACACCATTGTACAGGTCTGAGTCTTAAAAATGGGAAGAATTGTAAAATGATTCTTACATCTATGAAAGTAGAAGACTTATTTGTAAACTAGGGATGCTAAGGATTATTGCTTAATCAATGAATTGTTGTTGATAATTAAACTGATTAGAACCGATAGGGCAGAAAATGAAGGAGATATCAGAAACAGTATTGTAGATTGGCTGGAGTCCCTTGTTGTTCTAGCAGGTGGAGCCTCTTATTTTTTAATACTGTAAAGGTCCTGCTTTGCAAGACTATTCTGTTGTACAGAATGATGATTAAAATGGATAATCCGCCAAAAAAAAACAAAGTAGCATGGCTAGTTTACTGCACAATCCTTTCAATGTGGAAGGTTGCTGCTTGGCTGTTGTGGTTGTTTCCTGTTGCAACGTAAACAGTAACATGGAGGTAGCAGAAAGGAAGGACAAAGCTGCCTGAAATGACTGGCCAGTGGCGACTTATGCCCTCCACGCACTACTGTAGTGGCCCAAAGAAGCAGTTGCTTTGACTATCAGCAGTTCAGTGTTGGCAAGCAGAGAGCATGTGGGAGTTTAGCCAGTAAAGGGCGACCATGACAAAGTCTTCTGTGACACCTGATACCTACCAGCCAGAGTTCTTGTGTTGTCAGTGAGCTGAAGTGCAGTGAGATGGCACCACTTTGGCTATTGGAGTAATTTCTGGCATTTCACTACATTCAAAGCAGCTATGTTAGGGCACGGAGTGGTGTCCAGAGAGTTTATTTTGTGTTATCGGTTATTTGATTATTGATTGCTAAGGCTGCTGATTACCAGTTAAGAACATTCTGTGACTAAAGAGTGCTGAAATAAACTTTTTTTGGATCATTAGGTTTTAAAAAGATAGTGGTAACAAAATAGCATTTGGAGTAACTCCACACATGTTGTATTTTTCATGTAAGCAGATGCTGTTTTGTTTGCACGTTAGGCCACATTGGCGGCTGATTATGAGCTCAGGCTACCCGAACATACACTGTAGCAAAGTGCTGCACTATGTAGTTTACCTGCATATTTTTACATGTCTGATCTGTTCTAAAGTATCTGTTTTGTATCCTAAAGCTTGAAGGACACACTGGTGTCCTACATGGAATGCAAAGACATGGACATTCCCCCTGACGTGGAGGAGCTCTTTCCAGAGGAGATCTGTCTGTCCCATTACGTCGAAGCCTGGAAGTTCATCATCACCTTCAAGCAGGAGAATACTCAGAGGCAGTGAAGACAAGAGGAAAGGATTAGGGAAGTTTTTTTGTCTGCTTTCCTTATTTGACATCATTAAATCCCTTAGATGAAGTTTACAACTTGAGCTGACAGTATTGCGGTATCATATATTACCTATATTTATCCAGAGAAGATGTGCCTTTTTACGAGCAGTAGTGTTGAGATTCATAGCACCACAGGATATGTGTACAGTTCACATTTACAACTTATCTGCATGAAGATGTGAACTTTGGGGATATTTTTTTGATGATCTGTTCTTGTTTTGTATTTCTTTCTATCTTCCTAAGAATCAACATGTACAGTGTTTCTGTACAGTTGAAGTCTTTTTGCTTGCACTTTACGTCTTTACTAATAATGTGAATTTGAAAACAAAAAAAAAAATCTGAATTCACTCAGGTACAAAATGCGCAGTAAATCAGGAGAGTTTAAATCAAAGTGGCCATTTACATTTATCAAGAATAATGTGTCTTTTCACTTGAATCAAACATTTTTGTCATTCCATTCATTTCTGGCACCATTTAGCTGTGCTATGCTGCTGTTTCATATGTAAAAGTTGGGTTTGCCTTTTTTGAAATTCCATATTTGCCTTCTTACATTTGTTTTTTTTTTTTTTTCCATTTAATTGTCTTAGACATCCAATAAAACGTAACTATTACCTGTGTGCAAGTTGTTTTTGTTTTGTTTTGTTGTTTTTTTGAATGAAAATAATTCCCTCATGCCTTAAAGACGCTGAGCTGTAACTCTACACCATGAGGGGGCATTAGTGCTGACCCACACATGGGACGCTCTCCTGCAGAGACCACCGGGCGGCAGGAGAGCGGGCGTTGGGCAAATCTGACAGATTGCCAGGCGGGTCACGCCTCCAGGAAACCACCAGCGGATGGTGACGTTGGTGACGTTTCTTAGGAAGACTGAAGTGACAGTTGAAACATGTCAAAGGTCAAAAACAGCTCCTACATAAAAAATACTCATTGTCTGATTTAAAAAAAAAAAAAAAGAAGAAGCCTTATATCTACTCCATTGTTTCCACTGGAATGTGCTGATCTATAACATCCACGTCTCTCTCTCTCCACCCTCCCCTCCCCACTTGCTGCCGCTCGAGCACATCAGCTCATCTCTTTCCTCAGACGCTGTGAAACTACTGTACGCTACGCAGTAGCACTTTGTTTTATTGGCTTAATTCAGTCATATATGTTTGAACTGAAGATGGATTCTAAAGAAGAATATAGAGAAAGCTCTACCCTGCAAGTTGACAGGATTGACAGGATTGCTTGCTTAGCTTTGTTACATATGAACAATCGTAGGTTTAAATCCCTGTTTTGGAGACAGCGTTACACTGCAGCTTTCAAGTTGAAATGATGCTGACTGCTTATTTTCAAAATATGTATTCCAGCAGATTAAAATGCATCATATGCACGTGTTAATACGGTAAAAACTTCATTTCACAGGACAGGGTCTTTTCAAAAATACAAGACCTATATTGTACTTCTCCATATTTATTATTTATATGAAATATTTTGGGTTTTACTTTGACAGGTTATGAAAATATCCTTCTTTGATCTTTTTTTAAACCTTACATTAAACTGCTGCCTATCAAAGAAATGAACTAGCACCACTGGTTAGAACTGCACTTGAAACTTTATAACTCCCATTATTGATGTGTTGTTGTTATCTGAGTGTTGCACAGTAAATTTTCAACAACCCTATTACTGTAGGTCACAAGTTAATTATTCCTTATTTACACGTTACATCACTGCCAAACTCCAGCACAGGCTGTATATGAGGCAGTGTTCAGGAAATGTCTGCCTGCCAAAGGTTTCGTGACTCTTTGACCCTCTGTTGGTGGGAGCGCAATGTGTTTCTGATCAGACTGATGGAAATGATAAAGACAAGACAGCCGCAAGAATGCCGCTGGACAGCTCCTTGATTCAATTTCCTCTATGCCAAAGTAGTGTTTAGCATAACAATGACAAATGGAAGCATTTGCCTGTGAAAGTAAACCATGCCAGCGACCACCCTCTGGGAGTCTGCAGTCAGTAAACGATATCCACAGGAACACTCATACACTTTTCCACTCAAATAACATGTACTTCTTGTTATCTCAGTGCCATAATGATGCAGCGCTGTCCGCCAGCAGATTTCCACTAGAATAGGGGGCTGCTGACACCCTGGACTATCGAGCTGTGTCCTTGCTGCTCATTAACAAACTCAAAATGTGGAAGTACTGTACACGGGCTCAGTAAATACACACATAAATGGGTCACAAGCGTGATTTGTGCAACTCAGTCCTTGAGAACAAGCTTCACTGAGCAAGTTCAATCACTTTCACTTCCACTTCTGTAGGCTTCAAAGCCACCATGCCAGCAGTACAAAGGGAAGGAAACAAAGAGGCCAAATTATTGTCCCTGCTCTCTGTTTGTTTTTTGTCCTTGTTTTTTTGATGAGGACGAATTAGGGGCAAAATTGCTGTGCATCATGGTTGATGGACATTGGGGATCAGGTCATGAGCCTTTTTATGAGGAGGTTATTATAATTAACAAAGCTGGAGTGGACAGTGCCAGGGCGTTTTCAGAACTTTCAGCGCTTTGTTGATGTAGGAGTATTCAGCAAACTTTTAAAGAAGAGTTGGTTTGATTTCTAAAACCTGGTAGAATGATGGGTCTTTAGGAAACATGCTGTCTCCAAATACAGAGCTATCCTGAATCATTGATGTTATTAGTATTTCAGTCTGATTTCTCTCTCTTTTTTTAAAATAGTTAAATAAACAAATAGACCAGTTCAAAACCAGCCTTGAAGAAAATACGTGGAAATTTGCCCTCTCTTTATTGTTATCATTATATATGACATTTAAACCCCATTGGTCTGATGGGTGACGTCTTGCTTGTTTGAATATTGCCTATTATTGTGTGTAATCCCACATTCTTTCTCCGCCTGGCTGCTCTTCTATAAACTGTACATGCAAAGGTAAATAATTTCACAAAAATAACCTTTTTAGAATGTTTAATCTAGATCAGTAGTCTGAATCAATTCCTCCCCCTTCATATTTGCCCTGAGTTAACCTATTGTATATTTTAACCCCTTCAGAAATGCCCTATGAACTTCACAATCCAGTTAAAATAATATGAAGCTTGGCTTTAAGTCACCACTGTGCCTTGATCCATGGAGGAGCCTCAGTCTTAACCCTTTGCAAAACAGCCTCAGATATTCATCAAGTTTACACCTTGGAGATCCAATGTCATTCACAAGCTTCGACGCCAGGCAGGCGCTCAAAGCCGTAAGGGAACTAAGATTTTAATGACTGCGGTATGAAATCAGGACCCTGAAATACCCCCGAGACCCTCGAAAGCACACCAACAGGCTACTGTATTTTCTATGGGGTATTATACTTTAGTTGCGGTCGGGGGGGGATATGTTTTCTTTAAATTAGCCCTTCAGGGTGCTGCTGTTATTGCATTATTATCAAATTAGTGTATTTTAATTACTACGTCATATGAAATGTATGCGCCATTAGGTCATGATGGGGTGAACGCAGAGTCCAAACGTGTCCAAACTCTCGAGTTGCCCAGCCCGCTGTGCAATGCTGAGAGGAAGAACAGAAAGGGAGAAAGAAAAAAAAACCCTCAGTGAGCACATCTGTGAATTATATTAGCTAATTGTGTGCACCTCTCCTTGCACTCAACACTTGGGTTGTCCTCCAAGCACAAGGAAGAAATTAAGAGCGCTGCTGCCATGTTGTTCTATTAAATATGTGAAGAGAAAATACAATTACTAGTTAAGTGGGAACATACCACATGGGATTACGAGAGGCGCAGTGTTTTTAGATTTTAATTTTTTGCCATGTGCATGGACAAGTTTCCCAGCAGCACCACAACAGAGGGCAGGAGACAGTCAACGGCACTGCAGAGAACATTCAAGTCAGATTTGCGTGCATCTAAAATATATGTGCATTCAAAACACATTAAACAAAACTGCATTGAAAGGGTCATTGCTGGTTCTTTATTCTGAACTCGCCTCTTCTATCCGTTTACCTGCACAAATAAGGACTCTCCTTGGTTGAAAAATGTCTTTGCATAGCACTTAGTCCCCTGCAAAAATCCAATCGGCAGAGAAATCTTAACTTTACCTTCTTCATTACAACAGCTTGAATTTCAATACCAAACCGTCTGCTACAGGCACACAGCTCAGCCTTCCATAACAATAATACCACATATTGAATCAGATTGTTATGGTAAGATGAGAGGCTGTTTGAGGAGTCCAGAAATACGTCTAGCATTTCCCAAATAATAAGAAGAAGCAAAGATAGCGTTATGTGTCAGGCACTGAGTTACTTTTACATTGTTAGAAGCTTCTGCTGTCTTTTGCTTCAGGAAAGACGTATGAGTGGAAAGAAAAAGGATACAAGCCAGAATTACATATCTGTGTATTTAGTTTGAATGGAAACAAACTAGAGTAGTATAGAATTTTGCTATTGCTACGATGCCATAGAAGTAATAATTTTCCAGGTCTGGGATAAATAAAGTATATTCTATTCTATTCTATTCTATTCTATTCTATTCTATTCTATTCTATTCTATTCTAAGTCATCTATATGTTGTAAAAAGGAGTCTTGTGCAGCACTGCAAATAGTGGTAGAGCAATCTATCCGAAAATAGAAACCATTTATCACCTTGGCTTTATTCCATATCACACAAGGAAGTGGAAGACAACCCTGGACGGCTCCAACCAAAAAGCGTACCACTTTTCACACTGTCCATCTTAAATGTCTTGTTTTGCTGGCCTACAAATTTAAAACATTTCTACCTTGCTGCCATGATTTATGAACGTACCTCAGCATGTGTCAGTACACCTTCAGATCACCTGTAAAGTCAGAGCTCTTTCGACCACATTGAAACCAAAGCGATGAATAAGTTGAGATAGAATGAAGCAAGATTTGGATCAACTGTAGGATAATTAGTACTAATACGGATCAACATGACAATATATTGTTGCTTTTGTCCCTGCCTCATTATTAGGAAAATACTAATTGATATCCTGCTATTTCTTTGGGTGGTTTTTCACATCTTTACAGCTTTTTATTCAACTAGCCTCTTTATGAATGAAATTACATCCATCCATTATCTATACACCGCTTAATCCTCATTAGGGTCGCGGGGGGGCTGGGGCCTATCCCAGCTGACTTAGGGCGAAGGCAGGGGACACCCTGGACAGGTCACCAGTCCATCACAGGGCCACACTTAGAGACAGACAACCAAGCACACTCACATTCACACCTACGGACGATTTAGAATCACCAATTAGCCTCAACATGTTTTTGGACCTTGTGGGAGGAAGCTGGAGAACCCGGAGAGAATCCACGCTGCACGGGGAGAACATACAAACTTCACGAACTGCCAACCTTCTTGCTGCGAGGCAACAGTGCTAACCAACTGCGCCACCCTGCAGCCCATAAAATTACATATAAAGTCAAAATAAAAGGTACATCTAAAGTTCACCTGGCTGCCACCTACTGCTCCCGTCTGTCACACTCCTTGCTTAGCTCCTCATTCTACAGCTCATCAGCAGATCCACAGTTTGCTAGTTTCCCAGTAGAACCTACATGAAGAATGAGCGCTCCCTTCAGCACCGCGCTCCACATAGATGAATGGATTATAGGTGGTGTTT